TATTGATACCCATTAAAACCGTTTTGTAAAATAAGTTTTCAATCTCCCATAGTTGGACCCTTTAGTCTTGGATTGCATTATGAACCCACTAATTCAAGGTACTAAATTCAGAAATTCATAACTAATTATATAAAAATCATTTTGTGACATATGATATCGGGTTGGAAATCTTAGGATGTCTAGTTACTATCCTCAAATTTTTAGATTCAGATTCAAAGCCTAACATAAATAAAAATAGACATATTCTTTACTGGTCATAGTGAGTGTACTGATTATGGTCAAAGATTAAACCTAACATATCTTGGTCTAAACAACTCCAAATCAAGTGATTCCAAAAATTAATTTATAGCTAATTTCCTATATTATCATGCCATTATCAAGATTTAGCATTCTAATGTCTCATTTCCATACCATAAACACGTTTTCTATGAGGTATCTAAAACTAGCATATATAACTGTAAATAGCTTAACATGCGTAGTTAGTTTCTAAGGTTTATGAGAGAATCTTTTACCTCAACCTTCCTTGCTCTTAAGTCATGTCCCCAAGCCTCTCTATATGGTGATCAAACGTCCTCCAAAGCTTTGAAATAGGAAGGATAGTTGCTGATTTTGGGAGGAGGGAAGGAGAGGATTTTCTTCAAATTTTGGTGAGGTAGAAAGTGGACACTTAGGGTTTCATCTTAAACCTTGTATAGTGGGGCTTTTGGCTAATTTTTAGGACAATTCTTGAGGGATTTCCAGCAGCAAAATCGTTCCATATAGCTGGAACAAGAGTGCCCTTTCCAAGCATTTACTTGCTTGTATGGTACTTGTACCATTTGTCCAAAAACTTGCCTAGTTTGCACACAACATATTCTTCCTCAAGTAAAGCACTTTCCACTCTTCTTATTTTTGCTTAAATTTTGAATTATGTTGACCAAAGCCATGCAAAAAAACTGGTCATCTCTTGCATGTGGTCCCTACAATTTATCTTTCCATTTCCTAGCCTTTGGATCACCTCATCTCCATTCCTAGCCATTGAAATTGAAGCATAGTGTGTGCGCCATTGATCTTGTTTTCTCCTATTCGATCTCCACCCTTGATTCTAAGGTTCTTTGAATATTCTAAGTATCAAAACCTCATCCATAGATATCTTGAGATGTGATCTACACCCTTGATTATCTGATTTGACTTCTCATAATCTTAAGTTAAAATAAAAAGAAGGTAAGCATAGGATTTTCTTTTGATGATTAAGCTTATGCTAATCATGATTGAACTAATCATTTGGGATTCTAATTAACATTTCTTTTTATCAATTTAATCAATTAGTAACACCATTTTTCATCATGTTCAAATTTAGGATTTCATGATATGCTTAATCTTTTAAGTTTGATAACGACTCCTTGTGTCAATCGGTACTGGAAAATCCTTAAAACAGATTTAAAAATGCATCTAATATATCATAACCATCATAGCATAACAACAATTAGCGTATGCATTTGAAAAGTACATTTTCCATTGTAACTAATTAAGTGAGGAGTTTTGAAGTAATTGGCATCAAGAGGTGCGGTACGTCTGAGGCCTCACATGAATAGTTTTAAAAGATGTGCTAGCTGTATTGTTTATCTTGTGTGCATCCATTCTCTATGATTGATGAGTATGATGGTGAATATGTGTATATTGCGAATGATAATGATGTTTTAAAGTATGGCAATTTGCACAAATGGTCCCCAACCTCTTTAGTAAGTGACAGTTAGGTCCCTAACCTTTTTTGTGGTAAAACTACCCTAACCTCTTTAAACGGGTGCAGCCTCTTTAAACAACTCATGTTTAAAGAGGTTGTGGCTCGTTTTGCCAAAAAAAAAAAAAAAGGTTAGGGACCAAACTGTCACTTACTTAAGAGGTTGGGGACCATTTGTGTGAATTACCTTTTAAAGTACTTTGCCTCTAAAGTAAAGTTGTCTTATTAAAGTGATGTGACATAATTATAATTGTATGTTCAACTAAACAAGAAGCCAAGGTAATGATGAGATATTAAGTGTCATATGTACCACCCTTCATTCTTAAGGTATGAGAGGTTAAAATTTCTTTGACTATTTATGAAAGTTAAATGATAGAATTAATGATGGCCTTGGAGTGGTCAAACTAAATATTTAGGTCGCTCCCCCACTTCTTATGGTCCTACACATATGGGTACATGCATATAGCCCAAAGAAGAACTATCATAATTGTTGTATGGGAAAATGTGGGTGACATGTGGAATGGCGACAACGTGACACGTGACTCTACCTTTCAACCGTCAACAATAATGAAGTATGAATTGTCATGCATTTTTCTTTATCATGTTATGTTTATAAAATGATTTTGTGTGAAATATTTGTACTCTCTGAAGTTTAGCTTACCATTTTGTTCATGCTGTAGGTACAAAAACTTGCAACTCATGATGGGCTTCACAACAGAGAGCGTGTACGGTGGATAAATTAGGCATTGAATACCACCATGCAGCAAATTCTGCAAACGATTAAGATGGTGTTCAGTAATGGTTTAAGTAATATATTTTCTATGCTACGTGATGCAATGTTGGGTTTTAATTGACCATGTGGGCTTATATGTTTATTATTGTGTGTTAGAGGCTATCATATTAGGTTGAGCCCATTTAATGTGATATGATAAGGTTTTAATGCATCTAATTAAGTGTGTGCCTTTTATGTGTAGAGACCAAATCATTATTTCTACTTTTATGATGTGCCAAATTAGAAATAATGAAAGTTAATAGGGAGTTAACTTATATACGGTTATGGTCCCCAAATCACACGTACGTTTCATTCTATCTCTGACATCTCATCTTCAGAGAAAATATAGAGAATCCAAAAGGAAACTCCAAAGGACTACGTGTAGATTTGGAAGACTAACCGCAAGGCTTGTGATTTGCTTCCATCATGACTGATTCAGGTACGCTTCCGCTTAGATCTTAAATTCTTGGTGATACAACATGAACGATTCAGTATTTGGTGATGGTTTTCACCCTAAAGCAATTTTACTAAGATGCAAATGATTCATTTAAAAAAAAAAAAAAATTGATTGTACTTCTTACAAATTCCACGACCTCAGGGCTGGGTGGATAAGGGAAACGACACTAGGGCTGGGTTGCTCAAGGAAATGTCGTTAGGGGCTTGCCAGTGGTGAGGAATGGGAGGATGATCTAGGGTTATTTTGGTTTCATATATATGTAAACCTATCATAATTAAATTTAGGGATTGTTGATGTAATTTGTTATGCTCAAATGAATGTCTCTACTATTTTGACAAAACACAAACAGTGCAAATCTAAAAAGCCGAAAATTTTAATGGAGAAAATCCCATTCCAAAATTTTTTTACTGAAGAATGGAGTGTTGTTATGATTTTTTTATTTAAAAAGTGGCGTCTAATAATAAATTCACACATAACTCTCTTCTAAGGTGTAATGTTCAATTCTCTATCGTAAATTAAAAACAAAAGAAGAAAAAAAAGTGTAATTTCTCCTCAATTGTGTTAAGAGGCACGTGCCCTATAATCTATAGGCAGCATTCACATAAAGCCCGCGGCATCTCTCTTTCGGTTTTCGACCGTACAGTAAGTAGTATTTTTATGAGAAATAATAGGAAATAGGCCAATATGAAAAGCTTAAGTAAGTATATAAGTCAACTTTTAATTATAGAAATTAATAGGCCATAACTTGTCAAGTTATAATTCATAATCAGATAAATTATGGATAAATTTGTCAAGTTATGATTCATAACCAGACAAGTTATAGATAAAAATTAGGAATAACTTGTCAAGTTATGGTTCATAACCAGACAAGTTATGGACGAAAACAGTAATTTGACATATTTATTAACTTATGTAAACTATTAACCTATTACTTTTAATTGATCTCAAGTCTTGACCTATTTTTCTCTTTCTTTCTATTTTTATTTTCGTCTTTTTTTTTTCTGTCGGCCAAAAGGAAAATTACTAAAGTCAAAAGATTTTTTTTTTCTATTTTATTGTTGTTTTGTCAGTCAATAGCATTCATATTAAAAACAAAAAATTAAAAAAATAAAAAATAAAAAAAAGTCAATGCCTCAATGGCCATAACCGTGTTGTGGGTTACAGACAACAGTTATCCAAATTTCCAATACGAAATAAATATATTAATTGAGAGTCTCCGATGAAGTCGCAGCCATTTCTCACAACACAAATAGACAACCAAACAAAATTAAAAGAAAGCCATGTTCTCGATTAGCAAAAAAAGAAAGCCATTTTCTCATTCCTTATTGGCGGCTCTTTTTCTCTCTCATCTCCCTCTCTTTCTCTCTCTAACTTTAGTCGTTTATGACTACTGCATAATAATAGCCGTAATCTTATTTTTATTTTTAATATTTTTTAAAAAATAAAAAATAAAAATATTTTTAAAATAGTGTTTAGCACAATAAAAATAAAAATAATATTTTAATTTAATATAAAATGAGAGAAAAATAAAAAATAATTTTTAGTTATTTTTTATTTTTTATTTTCGTTTTCTCCTCTTGAACAGAGAGAGAAAGAGACATTAATAAGTTTTTTTATACTAAAAATAATCTCTTGATAAAACTATTAAATGTATTATTAAAAATAATTTTTGTCTGAATTAAAAACGTTTTTATTTTTATTTTTATATAAAAAAATAAAATTATTTTAAAACGAGTTCCAAGCGCACTAATATTTCCATTCTCGTACCCCTTCGTGCCTTGATTTGGCTGCCTCTTTTTGGTCTTTTAGAAACCAACCCAAAACCATCTTTCTTTCGTTTGATTTCTCTTTTCTGTTTATCTTTCTGTCTCTCTTTTTTTTTTTTCTCCCTCATGCTGATAAGTTCAATATCGCTGTCTCATTTTTCCGAATATTCTTCTTCTTCTTCTTCTTCTTCTTTTTCTTCTTCTTCTTCTTCTAATTAACGTCTATTTTCTCTTCTTCATATTCTTGTCTCTCTGATTCTCTGTTGATTTTGAATTGATTAAGGAATGGGGTTTGTAATATCCTCGAGGGATAAGATAAATAATATTTTTGGTGTTTTTGTTTTTGGACTTCTGGCTTTGAGTATTTGTTTGAGTGGATTTGGATGCACCGCTCAACTTCTGCCTGAAGATGAAGGTACGTTTGAATTGTATAATTGATTAGTACGTCATTTCTAACTTTGTCCGGGTGGAACTTATTGTTCTGTTTGGTTGCTGAGAAAGTGTAGGAAAGCGAAAGAAAATATTTGATACTGCTGTTGGTTAATAGGTAGTTATGCTGTTTTGTGTTCTCTGTTTTATTCTTGTTAGTTAACCTTTTTTCCATTGTTTTCTTGCTTGTGGTTTTAGCTCTTTTTTTTTCCATTATTTTCCTTTCTTATATTTTAAACAAATTGTTTGCTTTTCTTTTTTAGCAAATTATTTTCATTAAAGAAATATCTTCTTCAACATGCATATATCTTCTCATGTAGTAAAGTAATCATGTCAACCTTTTTAGTGGTTATATATATATATATTTTGCCCTGCATCCCCTTTAATATGTAAAGAGGGTTAAACTTCGTAACATAGGAGATAATGGTCCTATGGTACTAGATATATAGCTGTTAAAATTTTCCATAAATATATGTATATGTATAAGGAGATTTTAAGTACTGTTTGAAAAAATGATCTATAGATATTTTTTTTTATTTTGTCGTTTAGACTTTTCTTTCTCATATTCTGGTTCTAACTTTTCTGAAAGTTGCAAATGAGTGAAGGAATTGGATTACTTGTAACTTTAGCATGGAGTTCAATTATAATGAGTTTGTTGGCTGGAATGGGGATTGGATTATTATTTCCTAAAGTTGCAAATAATTGAAAGTGGTTTTCTCTTTTCTCTTTTCATTTATTTAGTTTTGCGTCTCATTTTCCTTCTTTAGAATAAGATTACTATTAAAAATTAAATACATCAACTACTAAAGAGACAACTGTAAAGATGGTAGATTGTGATTGTTCAATTATGTATAAGATATATATATATATATTATATATATATATATATATATATGGGGCATCCACAGATTTGGTCATCTTATCTATAAATGGTCAGACGGTTGACCAAAGAGAAAGGAAAACAAAGATATTGCGATTTAATAATATACAATTATTCGATTATTTATTTATTTATTTTGACCATCTTATTTTTAATACGCAAACGAAATGAAGACTCGTCTGAATTATATTTTGGTCTAAACCCAATTTAAAAAAAGACTAATAATTGTGTATCCTTATTCAATAATGAAAGATAAAAGATTACAACTTTTATTCAATACAAAATTATGACACTTTTTTTTTTTTCAAGTTGGTCCACAGATAATAGGAGCCAAATTATGAAGTGGATAAAGTGCAAATATGTCAAAAATAAATAAGATCAAGGTGAAACTTAATTAGAAAATAGAGGGAGGGAAATTAGGAGATAAGGAAATAACAGAGATAAAGAAAGATTTTTTATTTATTTTTTTTATTTTTTGTATGAACTGAATGCAGCTATGTATTTTGTTGTACATTTTGATTGCTTTGGGGGCTATTTCTGATCTCTATTATTTGTTTTGGTATTCTTACTATGGATGAATATATGTGTATTTGGCAGTGCAAACTCTTGAAACAATATCCAGAAAACTAGAACTGAAGAGTAGTTTCTGGAACATCAGCCAAAGTTCTTGTCAGAACAGTGTGGGTTTTAATACGACAATAGTCCCCGAAGACATTCTAAGCAATGTCACATGCGATTGTTCTTCAGTAATTAATGGTACTAATATTTGCCATATCAAGACCATGTAAGGATTTTCTTTTCTGGTCCTTACTTTCTTATTAAATGTTAGTTCTTAAATTTCTTTTTAATAAATGACTGAAGTTTTGAATTAGGAAAATGACCCTTTCTAGAAATTGTTAATCATTGACTTGACTGACTAGTGGTTTCTCACTCATTAATTTAGTAATTTGTCACTGATTAATTTCATGATTTGTGGTTGATAAACCTATATCAGATTGTAATTAACTTTTATCAGTCAATAATTTATTAAGAAGAGTGTTAAATGCAGACTCGACTTTTTTTTTTAGATGCTACTTTATTTTTTTGACATGTGGCATCTCACTTTTTTAAAACTAACAAACTTAATAATAAGTCACTTCTTTTGATCATAATTACAAGAGTATCAGTAGTTGCAAATATTTATGCTACTTTTTTAAAGATTGAAATCCTTTTTTTTCAGCTATTATTTACAACGTTACAATTCAATTTTATGTAAATATTAAAAACTCCAACGCAGAGCAATATTAAATTACAAACAAGTATTTTTTTACTAATATATATATATATATACATATATAGAAAAAGTAAAATTAATTATATATATAACGTTAAGGTAAAAAAAAATGTATATGATATTTAAATATAACATAATAACAAATTTATGTAATAGTGACTACCTTTTTTTGTTTACGAATTACGCTGTGTTAAATATATACATATATTGATATATTTAATTTGAAAAACGTCTAAATATACCTTTTGTTTAACAAAAATACTCCTAAAAATTTTCTTCTTTTATTTTTTAACTAGAATATTTAATGTTATTTTTGTTTATGTTATTGTTAGTCGTTTTTCATTTTTTGTTTTCGTTTTCTCCTCTCTCAAATAGAGAGAGAGACATTAATAGATTTTTTTTATACTGAAAATAATCTCTTAATAAAACTATTAAATGCATTTTTAAAAATGATTTCTGTCTAAGATTGAAAATTTTTTCATTTTCATTTTCATACAAAAAATAAAATTATTTTAGAACAAGTTTCAAACGCACCCATTATACTCGAGCCTCAAGTCTGTAAAATCACGCAAAACTACCGCTTCTCTGTAAAATTGAGTTTTGACAAATGAGAATATAATTGTCCTGTTCTTTCTTATGTTAATTTTATTACACACGTATTAAAACAATGATACGTATATGACAGTCAGTTGAAGGGTCTCAACTTAACGGGAATTCTACCTGAAGAATTTGGAAATCTTACTCATCTGGAAGAACTGTAAGTCCTCTATATATACACACATATATATATATAAATGTATGTATATAATTAAATTAAGTAACATGAGTGAAAATCACCGTCAGAGGAAGACTAAAAGTTTAGCTTTGACTAAACAGTGATCTCACTCGGAACTACCTCAATGGATCAATCCCTCCAAGCCTTTCTCGTGCCCCTCTCAAAATTCTGTAAGCTTACCTACCTAATTATCATTAATGCATTTTGGATCTCTTAAGGAAATTACATAATTAATGTTCAATACAAAATTAGTACACTAAATAGAAAATACATTTGCTTAATCTCATAAATTTGGGTTCATCTTTTGCAATGCATATATATTGCAGGTCTCTTCTTGGAAACCGACTTGGCGGCTCCATTCCATCCTGCTGAGATTGGTGACATAAGTACGCTTCAATCTTTGTAAGTTTGCCAGTACTAGTGTTTTTCTTTTATCGAGTCGGAGGAGCGAGGATTTTGAATTTACCGTTAGAATATGTCTGTAACCACAACACACTCTATTAGTCGAATGACTCTAAATTGTGGTGCATAATTTTCCAGGGTGTTGGAAGATAATCTGCTTGATGGACCTCTCCCTCAAAGGCTTGGGAGTTTGAGTAATTTGGAAAGACTGTAAGATTTCTATCCCCTGTAATTGTCGTTCAAATTTAACCAATTATAGATCTATTTTAAAAGAAAAATTATAAGCATAAGCTCACTCAATAATTAAAAGGGCATAATGGCAATGATCCTTTCTGTCTAAATTTTTCAGTGGAATAAATTTTTTTCATAAATGTTCCACTGAAAAAATATTTGGGCCCGTGCTTAATATTACAAATTTTTTCATATGATTGTAGTGGTTACTCTAATATATATCTATCAATGTGTTTATTGTCTTAGCCACAATATATAAATTTGATGGTTGTAATAAATTAAATAGTAAACTAAAAAATTAACGACAATTAATGAAATTAGAGTCTTATCATAACACGTTATTAAATTTTTATATTTGAAGGTGACCAAATGTAACCATTAAAAACTCGTACCGTTATGCATATATTTGATCCTATGGAGTATTCAAATTGATTTCTCAGTCTCTGCAAACTCTGCTAGTGTCATTTTTTTTTTTCTTTTTATAAGAAATGGCACAAACTACAATCTTATATCTTTTTGTCGACCATTGAGCATAATCAATACTTTCTATTTGAAGAATTGTGTAGATGATCAAAATTAATATTTCCATTTTGGCGTCCTGCTTTTCCATTGCACAGACTTTTATCCGCAAACAATTTTACAGGGACAATACCAGAAACATTTGGAAATTTAAAGAACTTAACCGATTTGTAAGTGGTGCAATTTTTTATTGTCTCTATTTCTTCTTTTTTTTTTTCTTTTTCTTTTTTGAGTTTAGAGATTTATCATCCTTATTTTACTCTTTTACTACCTGCAGTAGGATAGATGGTAGCAGAATATCAGGAAGGATACCTAGTTTCATTGGGAACTGGACCAATCTTGGAAGGCTGTGAGTACTGCACTTTCACCTTTTATCTTCCTTCTTTTCTATCTCCAAAAAGTGTTTGCAAAAATTGCTTGATTTAATCTCATATGTACCCTTAAATTTTAGAGTCTATCTTAATTTTATCTTTAAATTTTAAAACTCTCACTTCATTTATTAAATTAAGAATTAGTCCAACTTATCTTTTTTTTTGTTAGAATTATTGTTAAAAGCAAACGCAAAATAAGGAGAGTTAAGTGTGATTATATATTTTTTATTATTTGTCTTATCTCATTTTTTCCCGTCAGTTTTTAACATAAACTATAATATAGGAGATTAAATGAGACTAATTTAAAATTTCATAGGTAAAGCGGGAGTTTTTATAATTAAAAAAAGTGGAAATGAGATTTAAAGGGTACTGGTGATAATAATCATTTTCTACTTTTATGATGTGAGAGTACAAATTTGTTGCAGGGATATGCAAGGCACATCCATGGAGGGCCCTATTCCTTCAACCATATCACTTTTGAGAAACTTAACTGAATTGTGAGAGCCTGTTTTTCTATCAAAAAATCATATTTACTTGTGGTTTAGTTAATTAGTTAGATGAAAAAAGTTTTAATAGTGTAACCGTTGAATTATCGGCTTCGTTACCAGGAGGATTTCGGATTTGAGCGGATCAAGCTCAAGTTTCCCGGATTTGCAGGACTTGAATCTTTTGAAAATATTGTGAGTTCAATGTAACTTAATTATGTGCTGCAACTTACTATCTCCATGGTTCTCTAGGACTTACTGAGTTCATGTTTGTGATTCAGGATATTGAGGAATTGCTTAATTAGTGATGAAATTCCGTCCTACATTGGAGATTTGACAAGCTTGAAAACATTGTGAGTGCCTAAAACTTTTTAAGTAGTGATAGGGTATAAACGGTTAATTTTTATAAATTTAATTCGCGTTTAATTAAAGATACTTATTGGTTTTCCTTTGTGTATTCTAAAACTTGTAAAGAAGCTCATTTCTTTGAAAAACAGGATCAATTAGCATTGCCTTCTAGGAGGGTGTAATTGTTAAATATTAACTGTATTTGATGTCAGTGTTCTTTATTTACAATTGACTACATTTTAGAGTATGAAAAGTGAAAGGAAAAAAAATGTTTTTAAAACAAGATGGAGCTATTTCTATATATAATTAATTTGATTGTGCTGTATTCTGTAATTCATGGTGAGAAACTACTAATATATGCCTGAATTGGACATTGGTTTTAGAGACCTGAGTTTCAACAAAATTACCGGTCAAATTCCGCAGACAATGCAGAGTATCACTAAAAATCTAGACTTCGTGTAAGTTGATTACTATTAGAGCATTGGTTTAACTATTTCAAGTGACCAAGACGTATTATTTTGTTTTGAGAAAAGAGCTTACTATTGTTCTATGAATGTAGGTTTTTCACCAACAACTCGCTGACCGGAGAAGTACCAGATTGGATCATGAATACACAAAATAAATTGTTAGTATATTGAGCTAGCTACTTATTCCTATGATCTTTGTTTCATTTAGCTCTCAAGCTATCTATACACTGCATTTTCACAATCGCCTATAATGTTTTTTCTGCACTCGAGAGGTTAAATTTAACGGCGGAACTATGATTTGTATCCCGAAATTTTGGAATGTGCATGCATCCAATTTTTCTACCATGGATGATGAAAAGACACAATCTGATAAAAGCGGAAAAAGGTTATAATGGATGAGATCATTTTTAAGCCTCATTCAATGGATGAGATTTGGGCGTTACATCACAAAAAAAATAGGATGAACTGTAGCCTTACCTAAAATTTTATGTCTTGTTTACCTTTCTGCGGCCTATCAAATTCCATGACTTTCATTTGCAGTGATTTGTCTTACAACAATTTCACGAGGTCATCTCAACTTAGTTGCTCGAGTTTGTCTGTGTAAGTTTTCATCAATATATCTCTCTCTCCTGATATAAAATAGTGCAACCATTTGTGTTCTTCGAATTCAATATATACTTCAGCTAGCTTTTCTGATAAAAGGATCTATGTGTAATTGTTGCGTTAGCAATTTATTAACATATTAATTTTTGAACAGGAATCTAGTTTCTAGTTACTCATCTTCAGAGGGCCAGTCGTAAGTTCTTTCCTCATTATGACTTTCAACTATGATTCATTTTACCACACTATATCGTATGACTCGTGAATGACTAAGAAATGATTTCAATAACTAGATGGTGCTTGAAGAAGGATCTCCCTTGCTCCGGAAAACCACAACGTAAGGACGAATTTTAACCATCTTGTTCATTCATGAACTTGGAAAAGTAACAAGTTAAGATTCAGGTGGATGTCATACTGAGTTTAATGCGTGTTGTACCTGTAGATCATTCTTTGTTTATCAATTGTGGAGGGACGAAATTGGAACATGACGGCAATGAATACGAGGAGGACCTAACCGATGGGGGCGCTGCGCACTTCGTTTCTTCAGCAGAAAAATGGGCATATAGTAGTACAGGGGTTTACATGGGAAAATCTGATGCACCATACAGAGCAACTTTTGCAAATGAGACTAAACCGCAGTTTTATCAATCAGCCCGCCTTTCCCCTCTATCACTCAAGTATTATGGCCTTTGCTTGCGTGAGGGCAGTTACAAAGTGCAGCTTCACTTTGCTGAAATCATGTATTCTGATAACCAGACATTTACTAGTCTTGGCAGGCGCATATTCGATGTCTCAATTCAAGTGAGTGAAAGTAGATCTACATCATTAGAAGTGTATTTAGCACGCATGCCCCCTAAACTTTTTTCCGATTGGCAAGTTACCCCCGTAAAATTTACATTTTCGCAAGTTATCCCTTAATTTAACAAAGTAATGTGGATTGTCCCGAGATTGATAACAGCTATTAAACCTTAGATGGAAACTCAACTGTACACATTACGTGAGCTCATTTGGAGGAAAAGACTTCGGATGACCAACAAAGCACATCACGTTATGTGCATGAGGAATTTTCTTCTAAATTTTAACATCATTCATTGATCTAGGGACATGCTGCAACATTTTATTAAATGAAGAGGGAGTATTTTGCCACAATTAGAAGTCTAGGGACAACTTGCCAATTGGTCAAAGTTGAGGAGGCGAAAGTGCCAAATACCCTTATTAGCATTATACTATATCTTGTTTCTTACTTGTATGGCTCTTTCCCAGATATAGTTTTGCTTCAAATCACAAAGAAAAAAGGGGATAAAATTTCATATTTTGGTTAAAACTACTAAAGCTTCTGATGGACTTGTGAATAGGGGAACTTAGTTTTGAAGGACTTCAACATCATGGAGGAAGCTGGAGGGGTTGGAGTAGGCTTAACAAAGACATTTGATAATGTTTTTGTTAACGGTAGCACTCTAGAGATCCACTTGTACTGGGCGGGGAAAGGAACTACTGCTATTCCTGACAGAGGTGTTTATGGACCTCTTATATCTGCCATTACTGTGACACCAAGTAAGTTTGATGATATTTAGTATTTACTTACTATGATCTCCATCTTTGCTTGAAATCTTAGGGTAACAAAATATCTTCTCTTTCTTTACAGACTTCAATGTCGATACTGGCGGGTTGTCTGTTGGAGCAATTGTTGGCATTGTAGTTGGATCGTTTGTTGGTGTCCTTTTTATTTTGGTGGCACTTTGGAAGATGGGTTTCTTGGGGGGAAAGGGCATCGAAGATCCAGGTGAGAATTAATGACACCCAAAGTTTCTTTCAAATAGGAACCTCACTTGGCAAAGAGGTTGGATATCAGTGCTTTGTGTGGTCATTGGGGTGCATTTGCATGATATTGATTTATTTATTTGTTAATTTGCCTATGTTTAATATACTGTTTCAAAATTCCTAGTTAATTAACATATCCAATATATATATGAAAACATTGCCGAGGAGAAAAAATGATTAGTCCTTGCTGGACAACATATTAAGGATTTAATTTTAAAATGGAGAGTTCAATGGCTTTGGAAAAATATTGTTGCAGTCCGCAGTTCCTTACTTTCCATTTAAATACGCGATCGTATCTGCAGGTAGTTTCTGTTGAGATTTAAACCGGAAAAGTATGCTTATGAGTTATGAATGGTCAAGTCTAGATAATCTACATCAAATTCTTTTTGGTTTCTTAATACTGATTTAGCACTTGAGAGTAAATGGGCTGGTTTTTCTTGACAGCACTTCATTTAAGGCAAACATGTATTGTAGAATAACTAATTTGGTTTGCCACTTTGACTATGTCACTACACGAAACTACCTAATATATGTTTATTTTTACAGAACTACGTGGATTGGAGTTGCAAACAGGTTACTTTTCACTAAGACACATTAAAGCTGCTACCGGTAACTTTGACTCTGCAAATAAGATAGGTGAAGGAGGTTTTGGGCCGGTTTACAAGGTAAGTACAATATATTTGTTAAATTTTGGTCCATGTCTGTAAGTACATGTTAAGATAATCTGAAGAAAAACAATTGTCTAAAATATTTGATGTTGGATTTGCTTGCATTCTTTTAGGGGGTACTATCAGATGGTCGTGTGATTGCTGTTAAGCAGTTGTCATCCAAATCGAAGCAAGGGAACCGTGAATTTATAACCGAGATAGGCATGATATCTGCATTACAACACCCGAATCTTGTGAAGCTTTTTGGTTGCTGCATTGAAGGCAATCAATTGATGCTCATATATGAATACTTGGAAAACAATAGTCTTGCTCGCGCACTTTTTGGTAAATGGTTGCCTCGCGCATCTACGGTACTTTAATCAATTTTAAGGACAAGATTTCACATTGTTCTAACCGTTTTGACATTGATAGGTTCCAAGGAACAGCAGCTACACTTGGACTGGCGAACAAGACAGAAGATATGTTGGGGGATCGCAAGGGGGTTAGCTTATCTTCATGAGGAGTCAAGGTTGAAAATAGTTCATCGCGATATAAAGGCAACAAATGTGCTGCTTGATAGGGATCTAAATGCTAAGATATCTGACTTTGGTTTGGCAAAACTTGATGAAGAAGAGAACACCCATATCAGCACACGCATAGCCGGAACAGTGTAAGATGATTCTCTCTACTTTGGAAGTTAATATATCATATAATGTATATATTGCAATTTATATGTCCACTAAAGTATGACCTATTTTTTCACTTTCATCCTTAAAACTTTCTTTTTCTTTTTCTTTTTCTTTTTTTTTTTTTGGTTTGGAAATTGGCTCTTTAAACTTAACTGTTGTTTCCAAAGATTTTGGTCAACATCTGAGAATTAGTATGAAGTAGTGATACTTTCACAAAGCAACATAATCCATGAAGCATTGAACTTTCAAGGAAAAAAGTTTTAAGGAACAGAACTTCTAAACTGGTATGAAATGATGGATTAAACCAAACAACTATTTATAGAAGAGATATCCAGCGGGACATTGCTTTCTTATTTCATTTAATAAAGTTTCAGTATCTTTTTTTTAAAAATAAAAAATAAAAAAAATCATATTGTTGACTCATCACAGCAAAGACATGTAACAATATCACATTACATTACCGAACAAATCGTTTGAGATGCTTCCCTTAGTTAAGGCATTATGCTAACTAATGTGAACCTATCTGTTTTGCATACAGAGGTTATATGGCTCCTGAGTATGCAATGAGGGGTTACTTGACTGACAAGGCAGATGTTTACAGCTTTGGAGTGGTGGCTTTAGAAATAGTCAGTGGGAAAAGCAACACAAATTACAGGCCAAAGGAGGAGTTTGTTTATCTTCTTGATTGGGTAAGTCTTGAATTGCATTATGTGGGCTGTGAAAGATCTTTTTGCTATTATCTTGCTCTTATGCTTTTCTAATAAAGTTTGAAAATCACATGGAAATTAAATTGTTACATTACGTTGTTCAAAATTAATGGCATTGCTTCCAAGAAGCTGCTTGTGGTTTCATGGTTTCAAGCTGCTTCTGGGAATATTTGGATAACTTTTCGAAAGTGTTTATAGTCAAAGCCATAAAACGCGGCTTCTCAAGAAACTCTTCTAAGAATGCTTTGAAACTTGTATCAAAGTTTATAAAAATTTGTAATGTCTATTATAGCTTTTACTTTTCTTTTTCTACTGCATAAAAGCATAAGCAAAACCAACATAATAAACTATCAAAACTTCTTTTTTTTTATGTCGTCAACTTTCTACTTGAAACAATGTCTAAACTTTTCCTTTGTTTTCCTACATACAACTGTAGGCCTATGTCCAACAAGAACAAGGAAATCTCTTGGAACTTGTGGATCCTAGCCTCGGCTCAAAGTACTCGAAGGAGGAGGCTATGAGAATGCTTAACATAGCGCTCTTATGCACCAACCCATCTCCCACTCTTAGACCAACCATGTCTTCTGTGGTGAGCATGCTGGAGGGAAAGATCCCGGTCCAAGCCCTGTTGGCGAAGCGCAGCTCGTCGGAGCAGGATCCGCGGTTCAAAGCCTTTGAGAAGCTAACACATGACAGCCAAACAGACAACTCTTCATACTCACACGACAGCCACCAACCAGGCATGTCTATAGATGGGCCATGGATTGATTCCTCTGTTTCTCTCCAGAGTAGGGATGATAACCCGACCAACACCACGTCAAGTAGGTGTTAAGGATCTTTATGATGTCGATTTGGAAACATGGAAAGACTAGCAAAGGAACAAGATTTTACTTTCATTTGGAACTCGTTTCAAAATGATTTTATTTTTTATATAAAAAAAAAATGAAAACGTTTTCAATCTCAGACAGAAATCATTTTTAAAAATGAACTTGGTAATTTTATCAAGATATTGTTTTTAGTATTAAAAAACCAACAGAAAATGAAAAACGACTAAAAGTCGCTTTTCATTTCTCTCATTTTACACTAAACTAAAAAATCATTTTTATTTTCATTTTTTGTCTTTATTGCGCCAAACGCCGTTTTGGAAACGTTTTCATTTTTTTTTTCTCGAGAATCGTGAAAAATAAAAAGGGGATCAATTCCAAACACGGTTTGTTTTCTATAATTTTTTTTTGTTTTATTTGTTTGCCAGTTTTGTTTACATTAATATTCTTTTGTAAAGCCGCTGTATATTATTATCCCCATTTGTGTTGGCGTATGAATATTTGCATTTAAGCACATGTGAAAGAGATTTGGTGAAAAAATCTTGAGAAGCTTTGATAAGCTATGAGTTTGGTTGCTTGGGAAAATTTTAGATTGAGAACTAAGGGTCCAATTTGTCCCCCAATTTCCATTTTGGTAATTATCAACCTCTTGAAATTTGGAACCTACCAATATGTCCCAAAACGGATGACGTTATTTACCACAAGCACCTCACACTGTTGATAGTTTTCTCCCCTCAACTTTTTGTGCTTTGGCAAATTGTCCACTGAAGTACTTTTTAACTTTGGTAGGTCCCTACCTTTCGTTACCAATATAACAGGCCTTATCAATTTGGGAATTTGGGCTAGACTGTAAAAATTAAGATGACGTTTGATTTATGTATTCAGAATTATGATTCAGAACTATTTTCATTTTACGTGTATTTTTTGTGAGAGAAAATACTGTAGAGAACCATGAATCATGATTCAGAATCAAGGACGAATATAGGAAACAAACGTCCCCTAAGAGGAAATGAGAAAAATACATTTTAAAAATACATGTCTCAAGATTTTTATCTTACTCTTTATTAATAACCTTTTTAGTCAAATAACTATACTAATAAAAATGTATTAATAAAAAATGAGAGATAAAAATTCAAATCCATTAACTTTAAGAGTAAATTTTACAATTTTCTCAAAAATTTGACAAGTTCATCAGGCTAACTTATACATTTGCTAATTAAGTTTATCATATTACACTTTCTATACATCAAACAAAAGGGTGTTCCTTTTTTTTTGTCTTTCTATTAACATAGTAGGAAAAGAAACTATAACTGCAAACCAAAAAATAAAAAAATAAAAAAAAAATAAAGAAGCCAGCTGAAACAACTACTTATTTAAATCCTAAACAAATTTCTTGAGAGATAGAATTAAAAAATATATATGTATTTACGCGCAAGGTTTTCTTCTAGATTATAGTTTATTCATCACAAAATGGAAGTATCCAATTTGCCACACCTGGGTTTGCGTGCCAAATTGTAAATAAGCCATAGAACAAGGGCAATTAGGTCCAAGATTGCGACCAAGCAATAGAGTGTTGAGTTGTGTGTCGATTCTCTTGCTGGCCCGCTGCAACTTATCTTGATCTGATCAACCCGCACCTCCAGACGTTGATGAAGTTAACCAATCACAACCGTAGGATTAGATTGCAGAAAGCTTTTTCCATCGGTTTATGCACCATCAATCTAACACCCTTATAACATTCTCGAGCATCCCGAGATTACCGGTTGTGTCACTTCCTCATCTCACTACCTATAAATACTCCATTTTACACTTAAAAATTGTGTCAGTCCAATTCTAGTTCCAAGTTCCTCACTTACATCTATTACATATTTTGTCACTTCCCAAAAAAAAAAAGAAAGTTGTTGAAACTTAAACCAAAATTCTCTATAATGGATGAGTCAAAAATCCATGAAAATGGTCACATTGGCAATGTTGAACTTGTGTTTCAACAAACTAGTGAGGAAATACTTCTTGGGTTTGATCCAACTTCATGCGAAAAATCTCGAAATTTATTTTATGTGCTCAAATGTTCTATGGTCAAGTTGCTTCTAGGTGGAGCTGACAAAGTGATCAAGGACCAAAGAGCACTGAAAACCAAACTTCCTGATCTTGCAAAGGGCCTCGAATTACATGATTTGCGAAGCTCTTTGCCGGAAAAGGAAAGGGTATACGAAAAATCCGGTAATAGTACTTTTCTTAACTCGAGCGCGGATTATGAACATCCCTTACAAGTTGAAAACTTTCCCACAAGGGATCACAATAATCTTTCCCTTATAAACTTTCTTGCTTTTGTTATGTCACTAGTGGTGAAAATCATGGGATTTCAGTTTAGTCTGCTGATTAGCTTTCTCACATTTCCAATTTGGTCATCTTATGTTCTCTTCATGTTCTTGTTATTTCCACTTCAAACTTTAGACCAAGTTAGAGGGTATTTCATGAAAAAGGTGTTGGGAATGTCGGGTGGGACATGCATGCTTTTTACTTCTTCCGTGTCTAAGCGCGTAAATGCGCAGAAATCAAAAGCTGTGAGGATTGGATGGGCCTTGTTCTCTTCGATCTACGTCTGTTCCGTGCTTCTTGGATTGCTTGCATTTGGATTTTTCCTTGGGGGATTTGTAATGAAACACCTGGTTGAAAAGCCTATTCAAACAAGGGAGAACCTTAATTTTGACTATAGCAAAGCAAGTCCCGTCGCCTTCGTGCCTCTCAAGGACAATGTAGGACATGAGACGCGCAGCAGCGCTCGTGTTATTCCTTATAACCACAAATTGCAGCTTGCTGTTTCATTGACTGTGCCTGATTCCGAATATAATCAGAAACTCGGTGTCTTCCAGGTAGTTTTTTTGAATTTCAATAGTTTTTTTTCTTTGATTTACCTACGTGTCTTCCTTTCTAGTTCGAATATGTCGTGCTTGAAGCAACATGCATAAGGAAATAGCTATTCTTTGTTTTCTGGTCATCTATAGTTTTTTACACTTGCATGACACACTATTAATTGTCTGTGCAGCCTCAGAATTATTTCACTAGTTATCAAAATAAAGTGATAAATGTACCATTTTTTTTTTTTGAGGTCATATTTTGTAATTTTATAATTTTAAGGCTTTAGTTTGAATCGGCATTTTTTTTTCTTTTACTATTCGATCAAGTGTGACAGCATTCATTGTTTGTGCCTGAAGGTGAGAGTGGACTTCTTGGCTGCAAATGGCAATGTCATAGCAAGTGCAGGCCATCCATGCATGTTGCGCTATAAAAGCCATCCAATTCGCATCGTCGAAACGGTTCTCAAGAGTGCTCCTCTTATTGCTGGTTTCCAATCAGAATCCCAATTGCTGAACATAAAAATGACCGAGTTCACCGAAGGAATCGAACCGACAGCATGCATGAGGATCATACTAGAACAAAGAGCAGAGTACCTTCCTGGTGAAGGCATCCCTCAAATTTATGCAGCCTCACTACTGCTTGAATCTGAGCTTCCAAAGCTCAAAAGGCTTGTTTGGTATTGGAGGAGAACAATATTTGTGTGGATAAGTATTATGTCATTTTTGATAGAGTTAGTGTTCATCTTTGCCTTCTTCAGGCCTGTAATAGTCCCAAGGCCAAGAAGTGGTTATGGTAAAAAGAATGCTCGTGGAAAAGTTAAATCATGACGGATTTTAGCATAAGAGATCTACGAATAACTTGTGTTTTTCAGCAGGAAAAAAAAAAAAAAAAACTTGAGTTGATTTATCAGCATATTTCTCTACTAATTAGTATGTCAGTACTCTTTAACTTTGTGTACCACTTATGCATTTTTAAATAAGCATGATATGATTATATTGCAGCAAAAAAGAAATGTATGGTAACCATGTCGATTTTGTTGCAAAAAGACAAAATGATAATTGAAACTACTTAGGGCTTTAATGTGCATTTTTGGTGTATACTTTGAATAATTTCAGTGTCCATAGTTACCATGTCTATCAATTCCGGGTATGGGGCGTAAAGAAGGGAGAAAAAAAATTAAGTAAATGACCCTTTTTTAATCAACTTTTTAAGAAAAATGACTGAACTTTTTTATCTTAAGAAAATGGCCTTTTTTTTTTTTTTTTTTTTACAGTAGTCAATTAATGATTAATTGATTCATTATTAATTTACTAATAATTTATCATTAATAAATCTGTAAGTTATTGCTTAAAATTGATTAATTACTAATATATTTTAGTTAATTACAAACTAATATTGATTGATAATGCAGAATCAATATGATATCAGTGATCCACCATTAAATTAATCAATGAAAGACTAAGTATAGTGATCAATCACTAAAATCAAAGAAAACGGGTCATTTCCCTAATTTTACAAACTTAAAAATCTCTAAAAAGCGGCCATGTTCCTCTATATCCTCTTTCTTTTTTTTTTTTTTCTTTTTTTTTTTTTCCTTTCTTTGCTGAAGTTAGTATTGTAGGATCCAGTATGGCCTCACATCAACTGATCAACATGGTGGGGTTGTAAAACATTTTTCATACGGATGTTTGCATTCGTTCATATCACTGATTTGAGTTTAGAATTCGAATTTTAGTACAGTAAAAAGCTCTTAGAAACAGTCACATCTAATTTTTTTACTATAATAAAAAACTCTCACATAAAATCACATTTCAATTCGAATCAACGAACTAATCGGGCGTCGTATATAACACAATAGTTTGGAGTTAGATAGACCAAGCCGTGTCGTCGCCACAATGTTTGCTCTGTCTATATACTAGCCTAGGACACGTCCTTTAGCATGTCCTCCTTCGTAACATTTTTTTTTGGTGGTAATTTACATGTGTTTTTTAAAATTTATTTAAAATTATTTAGTTTGATAAATAATATTTTCAAACAACAATATTATTTTTATCTATGAAAGTGAATAAATAAGTATGATGATAATTTAACTTATGATTTAAATTGAAAAAAAAATAGAAATAAAAAAATAAATAACAAGTAAATAGTACAAAAAGTGAAGGCGTAAATGGAAACAAAAATTAGTCATTTTTTTCTTAAGCTCAAAGTAAGAGAAAAGAGTAGATAATAAATAAGTGAAAAGTAAAAAAAGGTGAAGTGCATAAATAGAAAAAAAATGAAAATAGAAAAGCGTAAATAACAAGTAAAGAAAAAATATAAAAGGTGGAGGGCACAAATAAAAACAAAAATTATCGCTTTTTTGTAAACTCAAAATAAGAGAAAATAGTAGGTAACAACAAATAAGTGAAAAGTAAAAAAGATAGAGGGGATAAATGAAAAAAAAAATGTTTCTGTGACAGCGGCTTGCTTTATCACACGTTTATTATATACTAGACATCATCATTTCTTATACGCTGCTTCATCGGGAAAAAAAAAGGAAAAAGAAAAAGAAAAAGGAATGTGTGATTTACAAAATGAAAATGTTGATCAATATTTTGTCAACTTCTACAGAGTCAGTGTTGATCAAGAGAGCTTTTTACTTTTCATTTTTGCGTTAATTTACATAAATAAAAACCATAGTTTTAGTTTCTTTCCACAATTTATCACTCTGTTTTTAGAAGTAAAAAGGTTGCCTTTGAAATTGAAAGTTTATTTCAATCTCATCCCCAAGGGCGGAAAAGTATGATGAAATGACAAAACCCTTAATTAAATAATTTCCGACAAAAACAAAATCTCATATGTGGAATTCTATGTTGTTTATATGTGTGTGTGTATATATTAAATTTTTCTCAATTTTCCAACAATATATTCAATCTAATTAAGGTTATATTTGTAGTTTTCCCTTTTTTTTTTTTTTTTTTACCGAAAAGTGGTCGAGGAACGAAATTGGAACAAGTTTTTCATATTAAGGACGTCTTTATAGTTTCTAAAAATAGAGAGACAAATTGTGAAAAAAAATAAAAAATAAAACGAACAGGTATATGTATGTTAATTACCCCTGTAATTTCTTTATTACTCGACTACTAATACTTTTCGTACTTTGATGTATTTGATTTCTTTTTTTGTTTCCAAGAAGAAATCAAAGAAAGGAAATAAATGCAACTAGGGCTGTTCATAAACCCGAACAACCCGCAAATCCAACCCACCCCGCCCCAACCCAAGCCTAAAAAAGCAACTCGCAGCATTATTTTTAAATTTTCGACCTATTATACCTCTAACCCGAAGTGTTTGGGGCAGATTGCGGGTTGAGCCCATAACAACCCGCAATCCCCAACCCAACCCGCACAACATACCCCCAAGTTTTCGGCCCAAGCCGAACTGTCCAAGTTCTACCTTAGGCTCGCTAACATTAGGGTTCACAATCTCATTCTCGGTCTCTCCTCCTGTGAACCCCCTCTTCTTGCCTCTTCCTTTTCAGTTTTCCTTCTTCTTCCTCTCCTGTGAACCCCCTCATAACTCTCTCCTCATTGCTCAGTCCTCTCGGCCGCCGTCTTGCCCACTTTCTCCGGTGCTCTCTCGCCGGACTGATAAGGATGGTTGTTATTTCTATTTAATGATGAAGTTTGAATATTATATTGAACTTTAAGTTTTTGATTTTTTGAATGTTGAAACCGACTACCCAACCCACCCCGCATCGCCCCAACCCAACCCGAACATCATTGGGTTGTGAAATTTTTCTAACATCGTTGGGGCCAAATATGTGCAACCTGCACCCTTTGGGGCGAGAAAAAAAAATCCTACCTTGCACCAACCTAACTCATGAACAGCCCTAAATGCAACAATTTTCTCATTCCCTCGTTTGTTTTTTTTTTTTTTTTGAATTTTCTCGTTTTACTATTTTAAGTTGGACCAACGATTCCATTTTGGCTACCTAGTACCAAGCCCTCTTCAATTAACTCCTAAAGTCTTATTAAATATTCTTGTTCTCCCTCTCATCTCATCTCTTTCCTCTCTCTCTCTCTCCCTTAATTTTCATTTGTTTTTCATATCTGATCCGACGATCCGTTACACTCAATTCAGCTCCTGCTACGGCGAAAAATGTTGTCGTTTCTCTTATCGACCTACAAGAATATTGTCGCTGTCAATGTTGTTTATGGATTTCTAGCTTTAATTTGCTTGAACGCTCAACTTCTGCCTCAAGGAGAAGGTGAGTTTTTTTTTTTGTCAGTTAATTTGGCTCTTTAGCGATTCGGACATCTTCATTAATATATGCTTAATTTCTTGGTGAGAATTGTGATCTTTTTAGTTCATTCAATTGGAAAATAATTAGGTAGGAAACTAAACTAGATGAAATTAAGGAAATATTAGTAAGAAAAAAAAATCTATATTTCCAGAAATTCAAAACTCAAAAGAAAACTGCTGTGAAAAGAAAAGATTATAACTTTCTAATTAACTAAGATTCTCTCTCTCTCTCTCTCTCTCTTGTCTCAAACTAAAATTGATTGTTTGATCATGAGCAATTGACCTTTAGTAACTGAAATTTCTTCACCTTTTTAAACTGTTTGCTTCAACATATTCTTACAGGCTATGCTCCCATGTCTGGATTATCAAGAAACATATTTTAAGTCGGCTTAGTTCATTTCACCGATTTGAGTTTTTAATTTTAAGTTTTTACAGTAAAAATTTTCAGAAAATATCACATATAATTTTTTCTGCTACAGTGAAAAGTTCTCAAAAAAATGTCACATTTCAAGTCGAATTAAAAACTCAAATCTGCGAAATGAACGAGGCATAAATAACTTACTAAACGCGTTTATAAAAATATTAGTTTTTTTTTTAAAAATGTGTATTAACGAGAAGTCTTTAATTAGCTAACTAATATATATATATATATATATATTGTGGAAATGTTGACTTCGGAAGTCTATATTATTGTTGCGTGTGGACTGTAAGCGGGGCGGGGCCCATTAGATAGAGAGTCGTGGATAACTTTGCATGGGCCAATATTTCCTGCCAATAAATACTTGATGTTGGCATAAAGATATTTTAAACGCAAATTGCAAACATCCTCTTAGAGCTTTTTGTTATCGCAAGTTCAACTCTAAAATGTTTAAAAGTTAAACATATATGTAGGACTCTGGTAATGTAGTCCAATCGGTAACAAATATTAATTAATGGGGTCTACCGAAATTAAAAAGTTTTGAGGTCTAATTTATCAATTAACAAAAAGTTTTGAGTGCATTCGTGCGACGGATGTAAATTAGCTAGTGCACCATATATAGTCGGAATAGTTTTTAAAATCTAAGGCCTCGTTCATTTCACCGATTCGAGTTTTCAGTTTTAAGTTTCTACAGTAAAAAACACTAAAAAAATGTCACATCTAACTTTTTCTGCTACAGTGAAAAGCTCTAAAAAAATGTCACATCTCAACTCGAATTGAAAACTCGAATCTGCAAAGTGGACGAGGCCTAAGACTTCATTTATCACAATTAAAAGTTAAATGATCCAAATTAATAAACCCTTATAAGTTTAGAGTACAAGTAAAATTATATATTAGGTTTTTTTTTTTCTTTTTTTTGGTTTTGCTTTTTTATGATAAGGTCTCCTAGTAGTAAGTAGTTATATTAAACCCTTATAACTTTTTGTTTGGTTCTTTTTGTTTTTTTGTTTGTTTTTTTTTTGTTTTTGTTTTTTTGTGAATTTTGGGTTCTTTTCCATACTAACCATTATTGCACTCTTTCGTTCTTGAATTTTCCAATTTTTTTTTTTTTTCATTTTTCTTTTTCCACCGTCACGTGACACAGTACAAGTTCTTCAAACAATTTCTCAGAAGCTAGAGTTGAGCCGTTTTTGGAACAAGGTAAACGAAAGTTCTTGCAATCGGCTGGATGTAGACTTCAACAACAAAAACATCTCTTCAAATCCAGATATTCGGCACGAGGTCACCTGCAATTGTTCTTACGACAGTAACACCGTTTGCCACGTCAGCAGAATGTAGGCTCCTCTAATTCTTTATACTTGTTGTCGATTGTGGAAATGTTGACTTCGGAAGTCTATATTATTGTTGCGTGTGGACTGTAAGCGGGGCGGGGCCCATTAGATAGAGAGTCGTGGATAACTTTGCATGGGCCAATATTTCCTGCCAATAAATACTTGATGTTGGCATAAAGATATTTTAAACGCAAATTGCAAACATCCTCTTAGAGCTTTTTGTTATCGCAAGTTCAACTCTAAAATGTTTAAAAGTTAAACATATATGTAGGACTCTGGTAATGTAGTCCAATCGGTAACAAATATTAATTAATGGGGTCTACCGAAATTAAAAAGTTTTGAGGTCTAATTTATCAATTAACAAAAAGTTTTGAGTGCATTCGTGCGACGGATGTAAATTAGCTAGTGCACCATATATAGTCGGAATAGTTTTTAAAATCTAAGGCCTCGTTCATTTCACCGATTCGAGTTTTCAGTTTTAAGTTTCTACAGTAAAAAACACTAAAAAAATGTCACATCTAACTTTTTCTGCTACAGTGAAAAGCTCTAAAAAAATGTCACATCTCAACTCGAATTGAAAACTCGAATCTGCAAAGTGGACGAGGCCTAAGACTTCATTTATCACAATTAAAAGTTAAATGATCCAAATTAATAAACCCTTATAAGTTTAGAGTACAAGTAAAATTATATATTAGGTTTTTTTTTTTCTTTTTTTTGGTTTTGCTTTTTTATGATAAGGTCTCCTAGTAGTAAGTAGTTATATTAAACCCTTATAACTTTTTGTTTGGTTCTTTTTGTTTTTTTGTTTGTTTTTTTTTTGTTTTTGTTTTTTTGTGAATTTTGGGTTCTTTTCCATACTAACCATTATTGCACTCTTTCGTTCTTGAATTTTCCAATTTTTTTTTTTTTTCATTTTTCTTTTTCCACCGTCACGTGACACAGTACAAGTTCTTCAAACAATTTCTCAGAAGCTAGAGTTGAGCCGTTTTTGGAACAAGGTAAACGAAAGTTCTTGCAATCGGCTGGATGTAGACTTCAACAACAAAAACATCTCTTCAAATCCAGATATTCGGCACGAGGTCACCTGCAATTGTTCTTACGACAGTAACACCGTTTGCCACGTCAGCAGAATGTAGGCTCCTCTAATTCTTTATACTTGTTGTCGTTGTTGATGATGGGTCTTTATTTTGTTGTAGGAGAATTCCATCATACAAAACATATTTAAATGAAACTTATAATTGTTTTAGAGAGACTTTGGATGTTAACAAAAATAAAAAAAATAAAAAAAAAAACTTAATATATAGTTCTCGATATTAACATTAATATGATACTCAAAAATAAACAATACCGATTGAACCCAACTATCATAAACTTTTTTTTTTCTTTTTTGTCGTACAATTGAAATCTGTTTTGTATATTATTGATTATATAAATATATATCTTAAAATATCTTCTTATTGTATATAGTGAAAATATTGGCATCCAAATTATTACATTCTATTTATTACGCTATTGCTTAAAAATAAAGTTAATATAATTACTTTAAACATTTCCTTTTTTTTTTCCCTATTATATCATGTCTGATATTTTTTGATTTTTTTTTTCAAAGTTTCAATAAGTTCAGCAAAATTACTATTAATTTTAATTTAATATGGTGTTAACGTGACGAGTTAAAAACGTCATTTTTAAATCGTATCATCGTGTCGTGATTCATATTATCGACCTTAATATTGTCACGCACTTGTAGCCTGTTGAAGGGCCTCAATTTAGCAGGAGCTTTGCCTGAGGAGTTTGGAAACCTTACGCATCTGCAAGAACTGTGAGTCCAAACATCAATTTACCAAGGCCCCGTTCACTTCGCTGATTCGAGTTTAGAATTTGAGTTGAGATGTGATTTTATGTGAGAGCTTTTTACTGTAGTAAAAAAGTTAGATGTGATTGTTTGTGAGAGCTTTTTATTGTAGAAAAACTTAAATTCTAAACTCGAATCAGCAAAGTGAACGGAGCCCAATTTCATTATCAAAATTATTTACGGACTCAAATATGTTATTTTAAATTTTAAAAACAAAAAAAAATTCATCAAATGATTAAAGTTAGAATTTGATATTTCTTTCTTTTTTTTTTCTTCTTATTCGGATTTCATGAAACAGTGATCTGACTCGCAACTACTTCCATGGATCAATCCCTCCAAGCTTCTCTCGTGCTCCGCTTCGCATTCTGTAAGTCAATTCTCATATGCATTTGTATTTTATATGATCATCCATGGATTGGATTATTCCGATAAATTCAATTTCCATTTCTAGAGATTCGAGGAATTTTGATCGTAAATTCGTTTGCCTAGATCTCTTTTGGGAAACCGGCTCAATGGTTCAATTCCTGTGGAGATTGGTGACATTTCTACTCTCACGGCTCTGTAAGTCATTCACTTGTAGTTGAGCGACGGATTTTTCTTTTGTTTTCTATTTTCATGGATTAATCAATAGAAAGTTGATTATTGCGAGTTAAATAATTTTAATTTCAGGGTGTTGGAGCAAAATCAGCTCCAAGGGAGTCTTCCTGAAGCGCTTGGGGGTTTGAGTAACTTGGAAAGACTGTAAGGCTTCGTTCTTGTTCTTTTTTTTTTTTTTTTTTGCTTTTTTTTTTTTTAGTTAAAGTTTGTTTGGTAGGAGGAAAAGCAGAGGGCTCTGTTGTTTGATTTTTTTTTTTTTAGAGTTTCTCTAGTAGGAATAGAAAAAATGAATTATCGGTAATTCTCTAATTTCAGCTGTAAGAGATTTCACATAAACGGTCTGTTTTGCATACTTTTTTAATCATATATGATTTTGACCGGATGTAACGGTCAGAAACTGGTCATATCCCCCCCTCCTTTTTTTTTTTTTTGCACACTTAAATTATTAGGGCCCATTTGGTTTATTTGTTCAAATCAGTTATTCTTGATTTTGACTTTTGAAGTTTAATTTGAAACAAAGGGGCCCTTAGTTTACCCCATAAATGCACACTACTGGCATAAAGTATGTACCAATGCTAGATGAATAGGTGGGTAGTTGAGACCCACCATTACTTAAGTAGTGAGATTTTTTCCCCCTTTTTTTAGGGAATGCTTGACTAACAGTTTCTTCATTGTACAGTGCTCTGTCTTCAAACAATTTTACAGGAACAATACCAAAAAAAATTGGGAATCTAAAGAACTTAACTGAATTGTAAGTAGTATTATAAGGTTCCAGCATTTTGGGTTTACATAATCCTTTGGAATTCAAATATTCATCATCTTTATTTACTGCCTGCAGTAGGATAGATGGGAACGGAATATCAGGACAGATACCTAGTTTTATTGGAAACTGGACAAAACTTAAGAGACTGTTAGTACTTCACTTCCATTTCATTTATATTATTTATTCCTCTCTCAGAAGGAAAAAAGAAGATACATATATATTATTTACTGTATATTGAGCGTAATTATTGCAGGGATATGCAAGGAACGTCAATGGAGGGTCCTATCCCCAACATGTCTCGTTTAATAAACTTGACTGAATTGTGAGAAAATGTTTCTCTATCTAATGATTGCATGTTCAGTTTAATGAACTGACGAAAGGTTAATTAAATTACATAAACATACCTGACTTGACTTTCTTTATCAGGAGGATATCTGATTTAAGCGGACCGATTAGACCTTTCCCTGACGGTTTCAAGGATTTGCAAAGTTTGGAAAGATTGTGAGTTTATTATGTCTTCATCTGCAGTAACAGCAATCCTATGTGATTATTTCCGTTCTCTGGAACTTATTGAGCTTTCGGTGTCACTTTTGGGACTCCAGGATTTTGAGGAATTGTTCAATTAATGGTGAGATTCCTGAGTACATCGGAAACTTGGCGTCTTTAAGAACATTGTAAGTGCTTGCAAATGTTGTATACTGAAAGGGGAAAACTAAGTCATCTGAATTTGATTTTCTAGCTAATACAGTAATAGGAGTTACGTTTTCGAAATGAGGAATTAGACTTGTTCTGGTGACACTTTTAAGTATCTCAATTTAGTTGTGCCAGGAAGTAAACTGACCTGATTATTAAATTGTTTCTACCTGATAAACTGCTCTGATTATTTCTCTGTCTTGGAACTTGATTTCTTATTATGCTTCAGAGCTTGATCTGAGTTGTTTTTTTGCTGTATTATGTAATCTGTCCAGATAAACTACTGATGCATGCTTGTATTTTGACTCTGTTTTCTTTGGCCTTCCCTTTAGAGACCTAAGTTTCAACAGGTTGACTGGTGAGATCCCATGGAAAGCCGAGGACCGGTATCTGGGGAACATAGATTTCCTGTGAGTCGCTAGTCAATCATACATTGGTCTAAGATTTATTTTAATTTAGCTTTCAATTAGCTATTTCTATATAGTTTCCTCAACTGCTTGATTAATGAGAAACTAATGATTAATGTTCCATGGCTGCAGGTATTTGACCAATAATTCTCTGACTGGAGAAGTGCCGAATTGGATGAGGCAGAGTAGAAAGCCTTTGTTAGTCTCTATCCATTGCCCATGCTTTATTATTTCATTTGGATATATATTTATTCTTGTACTGCATTCTGCAGTTTATAATTTCTAATTAAAAGACACATGAACTAACAAATTTAACAATGATGCATTGACTAATGTGTTTGCAGTGATTTATCTTACAACAATTTTAATGGGACACCACCAGGTTCTTGTGGACAAATGGAAAATGTGTAAGTTCATCTTTTTTCCGAAAAGCTTTCTCCAAGAAATATTGATATCTATATAAGGGGCTGTTAAATAGTTGCAATTCTTCTTAAATATCTACTTCATACCTTTACCATTTCACAGGAATCTTGTTTCTGGTTACTCGTCTCTGGAGGGTCCATCGTAAGTTTGTTATTTTGACTTCCAGCTGTTATATTCTTTTTTTTTTTTTTTTTGGTTTTTTAATAATGTCAGCTACATCAAATTTTGTATCAAATATCACCAATCCGGCTTTAGTAATGGCCTCTTTTTTGATTTAACAAACTTGCATAATGACAGATCAACTTCAACAAACAACTGGTGCTACAAGAAGGATCTTCCCTGCTCTGAACCAAAATGTAAGAACAAGCTCGTATAGGAGCCCGTTTGGAAGGTATACTCAAACCATGTTCTTGATTCTGACATTTGAAATTCAAATTTTTTGTGAGAGGAAAACACTGTAGCAGGATCAATGATTTGAGTTTGAGTATATGAAACAAACGGGCCATAAGATATTCATGCTGTTCATGAGCATATTAGCTTTATTGATCTTATGTTACCTATGTTGGATGCCATTTAGATATAATGTCTATTCCATCTGCAGTTCATTCTTTGTATATCAATTGTGGAGGGCCAACTTTTGGTGAATATGAAGCCGACCAAGGGGCTGGTGGGCCATCATACTTTCTTAGTTCATCACTACTAAAATGGGCTTATAGCAGTACGGGGGATTACATGGATGGTGGGAATAACCAGAATTACACGGTTGCAGCTGCATCTTCTTCAAATGAGACTTATCAAGAAATTTTTCAAACAGCTCGCATTGCCCCCCTATCACTCAAGTATTACGGCCTTTGCCTGCGACAAGGCAGTTACACAGTGACACTCCACTTTGCTGAAATAATGTATTCTGATGACCAGACATTTAGCAGTCTTGGAAAGCGCATATTTGATATTGTAATTCAAGTTAGTAAAAGTAGTACATTTTTCTGAATTTAATGTTTACATCATTATTTTTACATAAGTTTTTTTTTGGCCTTTGGAAAAGAAAGTGTCAAATTTTCTTTTGAATCTAGTCAAGGTTTAACTTGGTCTGTGGACAGGGCAAGACACATTTGAAGGATTTCAATATTGTGGAGAAGGCTGGAGGTGTCAACATAGGCTACAATCTGACATTTGATGGTATCGTTGTTGAAGGTAGCACTTTAGAGATCCACTTATACTGGGCGGGTAAAGGAACTACTGCTATTCCTGACAAAGGTGTCTATGGACCTCTTATATCTGCCATCAGTGTGACATCGAGTAAGTCACTAAATTCTACCTTCAAACTATGTTTCTATATCTTTTATTTTGGGTTCATCATAACACGTTCTCTTTCCTACAGACGATGACTTTGATACTGAGGGCTTATCTGTTGGAGCTATTGCTGGCATTGTAGCGTCAACTTGCTTGCTTGTCATACTTATTTTGTTGGTTCTCCGAATGAGGGGATATTTAGGGGGGAAACACCTTCAAGATGAAGGTGAGATTAAATACCTTAAATTCCAGTCTCTAGAAACCATTTTTTTCCACACCGATAATTCATTCTTGCAACTAGACTTGGTTACTTGTCTCATCCATTCACATTTTTTTCCCTAAAAGAAAGCAATATAATTTAACTTCTTCATGTTTTCACTGTCTATTTCCAATCTAATGACCAAAGAATTTTGACATACTGGAAATTGCTTTCATCGATTTTATGAGTTATAAGGTTATAAGAGACAACATATATGTAAGATGAGTGTGGCAGAAATGCGTATGTTAAGATGGATGAGTGGCCATACAAGAATGGATCACATAAAGAATGAAGTTATTCATAGTAAATTAGATGTAGCGCCAATAGAAGATAAGGTGCGCGAAGGCCACTTGAGGTAGTACGGGCATGTCCAACGTAGATAGCTAGAAGCACCAGTTCGTGCTTGGGAGGACATTCTTATACCTAATACTAAGAGAGGGAGGGGTAGCCCAAGAATTACGTGGACTGAAGTAGTTAGGAAAGACATTCAAGATCTAGGCCTTCATGAAAGTCTAATTTCGAACAGAGCTGCGTGGAAAAGTGAAATCCATATAGCCGATCCCAAAAGTTGGGATTAAGGCTTGTTGTTGTTGTTGTTGTAAACTTATAAGAGACATCCTTCTGGTCTTACTTTAAGCAGAATAGGTCTCGTTTAATTTATGAAAAGTGCAATGTTCTAGGAACTAACTATCTATATTCCATTCAAATGTGCTATCGAATCCAAGTGTTGTTTCTGTTCAGATATTGAGCAAGACACTATATTCATCGAAATTATTGTGAATTGTATTTTAGTTTGCAATTAATGTCAAATAATGCACAGTGGATGAATTGTATTTGTCAGCATTTCAACCACGTATACTGTTTGCTATTTCTGCTATTTAATTGTACCTATCTAACACCCTTTTTTTTTTTTTTTATAAATTTCCAGAACTACGTGGGTTAGAACTTCAAACAGGATATTTCTCATTACGACAAATCAAATCTGCCACTGGTAATTTTGACCTTGCAAACAAGATAGGTGAAGGAGGCTTTGGACCAGTTTACAAGGTAAATACTAAGTATTACCGTTTCTTACCGCATTTTGATAATGTTCGTAAAAATACTTGGTGAGGACTAGTACTGATGGTTTTGCCAAAAAAAAAAACAAAAAAACAAAAAAACAAAAAACAAAAAACAAAAAAACAAAAAGGATTAAAATACTAATATTGTTTGAGCATATATGGTACTGAAATTAGTTTCTTGATTCTTAGGGTGTACTGGCGAATGGCAGTATAATTGCTGTTAAGCAGCTCTCATCCAAATCAAAGCAGGGTAATCGTGAATTTGTTAATGAGATAGGCATGATATCTGCATTGCAACATCCAAATCTTGTGAGACTACATGGTTGCTGTATTGAAGGAAAACAATTGCTGCTTGTATATGAATACATGGAAAACAACAGTCTCGCCCGCGTGCTTTTCGGTATTTGCCTTTCTCTTCATGTCCCAAGTTCATTATAAAAATTACATCTTCTGCTCTCTGATGTGCCTTAACATTGATAGGTCGTGAGGAAAACCGGTTAGACCTGGATTGGCCAACTAGGCAGAAGATATGCTTGGGGATAGCAAGGGGTTTAGCTTATCTTCATGAAGAGTCGACATTGAAAATTGTTCATAGAGATATAAAGGCAACCAATGTGCTACTTGATAAGGATCTAAATGCCAAGATATCTGATTTCGGTTTAGCTAAGCTTGATGAAGAAGAAAATACCCATATCAGTACACGAATTGCCGGAACAATGTCCGTTTATTTCTATCACTTTGTCTTGACCATTCTGAGTTAATTTCACAATGAAGCTGCAATATTCTTTTTAACCTCTGTAAGGGGCTGCATAACATGCACGAATTTTAGATAATGCATAACAGAGATTTCTTATTAACATGTAGTTCGGAACAGCTTGAAAATTCGTCTTTTGCTTTATTGGCTATGGCACTACACTCATATTTGTAACTATTTACTTTCTCTTTAGAGGTTATATGGCTCCTGAATACGCAACCAGAGGTTACTTGACTGACAAAGCAGACGTGTACAGCTTTGGCGTTGTAGCTTTAGAGATTGTCACTGGAAAGAGCAACACAAATTACAGGCCAAGAGAGGAGTTTGTTTATCTTCTGGATTGGGTAAGTCGTGCATCCCATGCTCTCGTTTGTGTAGGTTCTTTTGTTATTTTTCTACTGATATACTACTCTTGCAATATCTCAAGGATTCTAGGACTCTTTTCAGAAGAATTATAAGGAAATATTGACTTTGACAGAATATTGAAACAACTCTACAATAGAAGGAAGGGCCTCTTTTTTGAAATAAAACTTTTTTTTTTTTTGGTTGATTACATAAGTAGAAACTCTCAGAACTGAACTTTAAATCACATAATTATCAAATCACTTGTATTAATTAATTAAAGATACAAATAAAGAAGTTGTATTCTTGTTATATTTTCTCTCAAATGGATTTTCTAATCTTAAGTGCATTCAAGGAGTTTAAAGTTAGATGTTCTTCACGTCATTAGATGTTAATCATGTCATTCTCTTACGCAAACTGATTTGTTTATGTGCATGTAACTGAAGGCCTATGTCATACAAGAACAAGGAAATCTTTTAGACCTTGTGGATTCTAGTCTTGGTTCAAACTACTCCAAAAAGGAGGCTCTGACAATGCTTAACCTGGCGCTCTTATGTACCAACCAGTCTCCCAGTCTTAGACCAATTATGTCCGCCGTGGTCAGTATGCTCGAAGGCAAAATCCCGGTCCGAGCACCAGTAGTCGATTGCAGCAAGAATGGCCAGAATGCGAGGTTCAAGGCCTTTGAGAAGCTGGCACTGGACAACCAAACTGATTTCTCTTTGTACTCCAACACAAGTCAACAATTAGGCAGTTCTACAGATGGGACGTGGGTGGATTCCTCTGGTTCTCTCCAAAGTAAGGATGATCATCTGGATACCTCCTCATCAAGAAAGCGTCTTTAGAATCTTTGGTCGTTTGAATTTAGAGGGAAAATACTCAGAAAATGAAAGTTCTAATCAGTTTTGTCTACAATATTCCTCTGCAAAGTTGTTCTATATTATTGTGACAACGGTTTGTCGTATTTCAATAAACTTGAGAGAAAATTTCACTCTGTTGCTCGCCTGTTCTTTTACTCTATTTTTGTGAAAACAAACTCGAGAGAAATTCTCTTCTGCACTCCTCATCTTGAGGCCACAAAGAGAATAAAATAAGGGAATGCTTCCTTTGTGTTGGAATAGTCGGCAGCACCAACCCTTTTGTTTTAATCTTTTTGTATGTTTAGATTGAAAAGTCAAAAAGGATAGACCCCCCAATAAACGGACGCCTAGTACGTATGTGATCATGCTTATTTAAACTCAACAGTACCATTTTAATATTATCTAAACAGAAATATATCTTAATAACTGGGGAAAAAGTAGCAAAATTTTCATGAAGGAGCTAATTGTTGAACGTCACTACAATTTTTTTCTTTTTTCGATACACCCGCAACCTCTCTTTAAACTCCAACCCACCTGAACACCGCTTATGTCACTAGACTCAATATAATTCAATATAATTTAATATATGAAATTCAAGGACTAAAATAGAACAAGTGCTAAAGTTTGGGGTTGACTTTTTAAAAAGTAAATGTTATTAGCTATTATATTTTAAATAGAGTTCAACTCTGTGGTGTGAACTGTGGAATCAAAATAAACGACGTCGGACCTTGGATTTACCATGTGGCGAAAGATGTTTGCTTGCTTCAACTATTGGAGAAGAGACTTCTACTCTGTCAAATTGTCAGCTCTTAGAATTAGGAGCCAAAAAAACCAACCAATCCAAAGCTTACATTTCAAAAACGATAAAAGGCGCCACAACAACCAATTACGTCAATGCATTATAATGTACGTATTGATACTGCTCGGTGGTTAATTAATCGAAAAAATCTCGTTCGTTTCGCTGATTCGAGTTTAAAATTGGAGTTTTGTTACAGTAAAAAGCTCTCACAAACAATCACATTTAACTTTTTTACTACAGTAAAAAGTTCTCACATTAAGTCACATCTCAACTCGAATTAAAAACTCGAGAAACGAACTAAACGGGTTACGTTTCTCACTTCGCTTCCTGTTCTGCTCAATTCACTTCCTCTTTAAATATACATACATACATGCGTGCATTTATATACATACATATATATATATATATATTAACAGTTCATCTCTCTCTTCGCTGTTGTTATTTTGACTTACCATAGCAATATTGGTTTTATAAGTTTGGAAACGCCTGGACTAACTAAATTGTTTTTGGATTAGTTAAAGGAAGACATGGGGTTTGTGTTTTTGGCTAACAAGATTGCTCCTGTTTTTGGTTATGGGATTCTGGCCTTGAGTTTCTTCATTAATGGGTTTGGATGCCAAGCTCAACTTCTGCCTCCAGATGAAGGTAATCCAACAATATCCTACAACATTTGAATTACTTGACATTGAAATTAAGAATTTTGTGTACTCTTGGAAACATAAGTCTGTACTTGGTATATTTTTTTACGGACCTGTAGGCTTTTTCTGTCCGTCGGATTTGCGTAAATTACGTAAAAGTCAAAAGGTACGCAGATACAACGATTAAAAAAACTTGACCTATTGGTAAACCAAACGTACTTGGTATATTGTTTTTAGAGTTATATGCTAGTATGGTGGGGGTTTGGTATATTGTTTTTAGAGTTATATGCATGTTCGATATAATTTTGTTGTCCCTTTTCAGCTGTTTTCTTGTGCGGCTAATTACCAAATAACAATTTTTGTTGTTTCCTTTCTTGTATAAAATTTTATTAACTTCCTTTCCTAGTTGTTTTATGTTGTGAATTATGAGTTTCATAACTCAAATTTGAGCTAGTTTATGGCTGAATCATATCCTTCTCATGCACTTAGAAGCAAACATGAGTGTAAATTAAAATGACAGAAAAAAGTCTATATTGATGCGTTTATAATTTTTTGATACCCTGAATTACATTTGATGTATTTGTATTACTTTGATACCTTGAATTGCATATCTTATGATGTATATCTTGATAATCTTCTGTTCTTTTGCGATGTTTATCTTTGTATATTTGATACATTTTTATTATATTCTTTGATTGGTGGTATGTTGTGGCAGTTCAAACTCTTCAAACAATTTCTCGAAAACTAGAGCTGAGCCGTTTTTGGAACAACATAAGCGACGCTTCTTGTAATCGTCTAAACGAAGACTTCAATAACACAATAATTGTCGAAAGCAAAATCTTCCATAATGTCTCATGCGAGTGTAGTTATGAGAACAACACTGTTTGCCACATCAATAGAATGTAAGATCTCGTTTCCTATAATCTTCTTCGTTGTTATTAGAATGCTGATTATTGAATTTTGTCTTATTATTATTAATTTACTATTGCTATTATTATTGGCATTATTGTTCTTTTATGTAAGTTATTACATTCTAAATCTGTTATTGCAGCTTCTTGAAAGGACTCAATTTAACAGGAGTTCTACCTGAAGAATTCGGAAGACTAGCATATCTGGAAGAACTGTGAGTGACACATGTTATCTCAGAAATTTTCATTTTTTTTAAATTTATGAAAAAGATTGGTAGACCATGAAAATAAACTGCTAATGATGTGTCTATCCATCGTCTGACTCTTTCGTAAAACAGTGATCTCTCGCTCAACTACTTCTATGGATCGATCCCACCGAGCTTCGGTGGTGCCCCTCTGCGCAATTTGTAAGTTGTTACATACACGTGTATCTCTGGGGAAAAATATAAATGTATTTCCAATATCCAAGTTTTTGTGAATTGCCACTCTTGTTTGTATGCTGCAGGTCTCTTTTTGGAAACCGACTCAATGGTTCAATTCCTGAGCAAATTGGCAACATTACCACCCTCAGGAAGTTGTAAGTCCTGCATAAAATTTTTCTCATAGTTAAAGAACATAGATAAGTATACAACACAACCTGATTAGCATTAAAATTGCAATTTCCAGAGATTTAGAAGATAATCAGCTTGGAGTGTCTCTTCCTCAGACTATTGGACGTTTGAGGAATTTGGAAATACTGTAAGATTATATTGACATCATTTTTCTTTCAATTTTACTAGATTTCTTTTTTCTGCTTTCTCACTTTCGTACGATTAAAATATGTGATCTTTGAAATTGGATGTCATCCTTCAATGTGCCGCCATAAACTAGTATTAAGCGAAGGAGGGGGAAAAGAAGGAAGAAGGAAAAAAAAATGGTGGCAATCACTGTCCAATCTCAATCATGTCTTAAAACATATGTTTTTAATTTTACATTAGGAAAAAGATGCTTTTGGAGCAGGTTCCTTGCTCCTCTTCAAGGTGAGATTCTTTGTATCGTGCACGCACGCAAGAAACACGCGTGCAAATATAAGTTATGTTCTTAGTATGAGAAACATTTTTCTGTTTCAACACTGTGGCACGCCTCTCTCTCTTTCTCTCTTTCTGAAGTATGATTACAACAATGAAGACGCAGAAATTTCAGCATTGATTCATGGGAATTTGCATTAGCTGTGTTATGAAGCAAATATCCATGTTTCTTTCAATAATGTATGCTCAACTAAGAGTTTTTCAATGTACAGCATTCTGTCTGCAAACAGCTTTCGAGGGACAATACCAGAATCATTTGGAAATTTAAAGAACTTAACAGATTTGTAAGTGATGTAAGGCAAATTTTTCATGAAGTGGTACCTACCCTTTGAAATTGGAGATTTCTCATTCTCATTCATTGCCTACAGTAGGATAGATGGGAACAGAATATCAAGGACCATACCGAGTTTCATCGGGAATTGGACCAAACTTAATCGACTGTGAGTGCAGCACATTTATATGCTTCCTTCTCTGTATAATCTTTGAGAAAAACGCATGTTTTTCAATTCACTTAATTCTATTGTTATACACCAAATCTCTTCATTTTTTGTAGGGATATGCAAGGCACGTCCATGGACGGCCCCGTTCCTCAGAATATCTCTTTTGACAAACTTAGTTGGATTGTGAGAGAATGCACTATTGCATCTAGAGATTTTACACAAGTTTAGTGACTTCATACTAGTTTATAAATAAAATGTTTTGGATTATCTGATGTGGCTTCTTTATCAGGAGGATATCTGACTTGGTGGGATCAAAAGCTATACCTTTCCCTAGTTTGAGGGGATTGACAAAGTTGGAGAGATTGTGAGTTCAATAGGTCTTAACATGCTGCAATTGCAATTTTAACATGATTATTCCACGGCTTTTGGGAATTTAACAAGTTCTTGGTACCACTTTTGTGACTCAGGATATTGAGGAATTGCTTCATTTACGGTACAATTCCATCGTACATCGGAGAGTTGACAAATTTGAAAACATTGTAAGTTCATAAAATTCGAGTACTAATAGAAGTAGCCAAAAGTTTTTAAATTTCCACACGATGTTGTTAAATTCTCTGAATATGGAATTACATATTTCTTATGGCACTTTGATGCTATCACTGATCACTAAACCCAGATGTGCCCTTAAGCCAGTGAACTGACATTATTAATATATTATTTTTCTTTCTGTCTAGTTTAACTGTTTAAGAACCACTAGCCCATCATATTGAGACATAATGTCTTTATAAACCTGAGTTCTTGCTTGTATGTTTCCGAATTGGACTTCTTGTTTGTATAGTTGAGACTTAAGAGCTTGCCTTCTCACTTGTATGTTTTAGTTATAAAACTACCTGATTTCTTAATGGTTTGAAAAGTATGTACAGAGAAATCTCAACTTTTCTAGCCACTATTGCTTCAAATTTCCATTATGAAGTAATAACAGAATAGTACTAGAATCATGTGTGAGATTATGCAACTGTCGAAACGAACTACTAACCTACGCTTGTATCACACTTCTTTTGTTCTTTTGATTTGTTTCACCTCCTTTTCAGGGACCTGAGTTTTAACAATTTGACCAGTCAAATTCCAAAGGAAATTGAGAATCCAACGCTCTTAGAGCTCACGTAAGTCATACTAAGAGCACTTGTCTAGCTATATGACTTTCGCGGTCGTTGGAATAAAGACACATTTTTGTTATGAAGTCAAATGTAGCAGATAAGGACCTATGTACTTCTGTTGTATCAATTATCATTTTAACAATCAACATTCTCCCGTAATGATACCACCTAGTATTGTTATAATATCAGCCAATTTTATGATGTCAATCGAAAAAAATTTCTTCTTTTACTTCTGGGGCAAAAACGATCACGTTTTATTTATTATTATTTTTTAATTTGAGTTAAAATTCATTCACAGGAAAATGCTTTGCTATGTCTTTATTTTTGGACAAAAGAGATCATTAAACTTTGTGTGAATGCAGGTTTTTGAATAACAACTCATTGACTGGGGAAGTACGGCCAAGTTGGATGGTGCAGACCAGAAAGGATTTGTAAGTCTACTTATTTCCCTATTTGTTGTCCGTGATCTTTGGATTTTATCTTATTTTGCTGTAATTTTTTTTTTTTTGTTGCTGCGTGATGCAGTTTTGTATCTTCTTTTTTTTTTTTTTTTTTTTTTGGAAATTTGAATTAAAGAATATGACACGAATGCCTTGATTAATCTTTTGCAGTGATTTATCTTACAACAATTTCACAGGGTCACCTCCAGTTCCTTGTGGAAATATGGTTTCTGTGTAAGTTCCTTTTCTTTTTCTTTTTTTCCTAAGAGCTTCTTTCTAGTAAGTACCGAAGATTATAAGGTGGCATCTGGGGCGTCATCGATAGTGATCATAGGTTTTAAATCAGACAATGCATATTGTATGGGGCTAGATACTATGAGGGGATTTGTTTGGGCATCACTGTTACACTCATATGAATCGTTTGATTTGAATCGAGTTGAGGTCAATGATTCCTATGTGCTCATTTGATTCTGTACACCTTGCTCAAACAGTTTCTGTGAAATCTTCACACACATGTTGGCTATTCTTTTGAAGTATCAACTTACTTGTTTCTTTTTACTATTCAACAGGAATCTTTTTTCTGGTTACTCTTCTTCTCAAGACCAATCGTAGGTATTCCCTTCCTTGTTACGCTTTGTCATCTATCAAACTTCATGTTCGACATGAATGATTAATAATTGCTTTTAACATGTAGATGGTGCTTTAAGAAGGGCCTCCCCTGCCCCGGAAAATCGCGACGTAAGGATAGACTTGAACCAAGATCATACTTCTATGAACTCACTGTAGCTTAATCAAGCTACAAATGATCCCACATGGGTGACATGTTAAATTTACACCCGCAGGTCGTTCCTTGTATATCAACTGTGGAGGGCCAAACTTGGACGAATACGAAGGTGACGAATCCACTGGAGTGCCATCATACTTCTTTTCTCTACCAGAAAAATGGGCGTATAGTAGTACTGGTGTTTACATAGGTCTGGGGGAAAGAGAAAAGAGTGGACTTCAAAGTAACAAACAAATTGCAGTCCAATGAAACTTATCCTGAAATTTTTCAAACGGCCCGCATAGCTGCTGTATCACTCAAGTATTATGGCCTTTGCTTGCGGAAAGGCAGGTACAAAGTGAAGCTCCACTTTGCTGAAATAATGTTTTCGGATGACCAGACATTTAGCAGTCTTGGCAGACGCATATTTGATGTCTCAATTCAAGTGAGTAAAAGTAGAAATACATTGGTAGGACATGGTCTTGCTACATTTATTGATAAAAGTGTTTTCCTTAGCTGCAAAGGTTAGAAAATCCAGAACTTTTGCTCCAAGCTGATGAAGTTTAACTCTCACTTGTGAACAGGGAAATTTAGTTTTGAAGGATTTCAACATTATGGAGGAAGCTGGAGGTCCTGGAAAAGGCATCACCAAGACTTTTGATAATGTTTTTGTTAATGGTAGCACTCTAGAGATTCACTTATACTGGCCAGGGAAAGGAGCGACTGCCATTCCTGATAGAGGTGTTTATGGACCTCTTATATCTGCTATCGCCATAACATCATGTAATTATTTTCGCCTCATATGCTACACTTTATACTGTGTTTTCCCATTCATAATTTATTTTGAAGGGTGGAAAAGTAATTTTTAGTTAAATTTGGGTGGATTGGTTGGAGGGTTAAAAGGATAGATTATAATTATTTGTTTAATTACTATATTGTCCATTTAACTATTTTTTCATAATTTATTTTGAAGGGTGGAAAAGTAATTTTTAGTTAAATTTGGGTGGATTGGTTGGAGGGTTAAAAGGATAGATTATAATTATTTGTTTAATTACTATATTGTCCATTTAACTATTTTTTCATAATTTATTTTGAAGGGTGGAAAAGTAATTTTTAGTTAAATTTGGGTGGATTGGTTGGAGGGTTAAAAGGATAGATTATAATTATTTGTTTAATTACTATATTGTCCATTTAACTATTTTTTCATAATTTATTTTGAAGGGTGGAAAAGTAATTTTTAGTTAAATTTGGGTGGATTGGTTGGAGGGTTAAAAGGATAGATTATAATTATTTGTTTAATTACTATATTGTCCATTTAACTATTTTTTCATAATTTATTTTGAAGGGTGGAAAAGTAATGTTTATTTAAATTTAGATAGATTGGTTAGATCCTTCTATTGATGAAATGATCCAAAATGGTGGGCGCAGAGGAAGAGAGTCCTCTCCCTCTTCTTCTCCCTACCAAACTAGGGATTCACCCTCTCCCTCCACCTCTGTCTCTCCCTCCATCTCTCATTTCTACCAAACATACCCTTAGTGTGTTTATGCATCTTTCTTAGATATGCTTGTTGGGAAACTTTGTTAGTTTGATTAGCTCTTGTTGGGCAATAAATTAAAATTTAGATGTTTGATTTAAGAACTTGTAAATATCCTAAAAAATGCACTGGCTCTTCCTGTGATGACTAGAGAATTTGGTAACACTGTTAAATGAGTTGAGCCCTCTGAGGTGTTTGGGCTCTCTTTGGCTCCCTTGACTTCAGTAATGGCTCCTAGTTAGCATCTTCCTCTTTCAGAAATGTCATGATAGATCATTGTATAAATTGCTCTGCGTATGGTTTTCCGAGTTAATGCACAATGGCATGGCATGTAACTTCAATTTCTTTACGTCTTTAAGCAGAAAAAGGTGTTTATGAGGGACAAGTCATGTAGCAAATTCATTAGATAATGAAGTGTTTGTATATGATAATCTTATCTCAAACTTATATTGTATCTAATTTAAGTGAATTACATTGCTTTTGTCTGCCGTTTTGCCTCTCAAATTCCCTTTCTTTGTCTTAGAACTACGTGCATTAGATGTAAGAAAAATCAATTCCGCCACGGGTAACTTCGACCCTGCAAATAAGATAGGGGAGGGAGGCTTTGGGCCGGTTTACAAGGTAAATACCGTAGTTTTTGCCAACCAATCAAACTAGTTAGAAACTTGATTCTGAACTGAGTTGCTTGATGATCTTAAGTAGGGCGTACTTTCGGATGGTGGCGTAATTGCAGTTAAGCAGCTCTCATCAAAATCAAAGCAAGGGACCCGTGAATTTGTTAATGAGATAGGCATGATATCTGCTCTGCAGCATCCAAATCTTGTTAGGCTTTTCGGCTGCTGCACTGAAGGAAACCAGTTGCTGCTTATATACGAATACATGGAAAACAACAGCCTTGCCCGCGCACTTTTCGGTAACTGCTTGACCATAATTGGTGAGAATTAACCGTCATAAATGGCAGAATGAGACTTGCATCACTTTTCTATTTTCGCAATTAATAGGTCGGGATGACAACCGGATGCATCTAGATTGGCCAACAAGGAAGAAGATATTGTTGGGGATAGCAAGGGGGTTAGCTTACCTTCATGAGGAGTCAAGGTTGAAAATTGTGCACAGAGATATAAAGGCAACAAATGTGCTACTTGATAGGGATCTAAATGCCAAGATATCCGACTTCGGTTTAGCTAAACTCGATGAAGAAGAGCACACACATATCAGCACATGAATAGCGGGAACGATGTATAGATCTCTAATTCTTTGTCATTTATCTTTCTGAATCATTATAAGCCTCTTAACAAGGAAACACTGTTCTTGAATGAATGATGAAATATTGAAGGTCGTAAATAACATTATGTTAGTATATTAGTTGTATTCTACGAGTAAATATTTGATAATAGATAGGGGTAAGAATTATTATTGCATTTACTAATGACTGGCTGAGGATATATGGCTCCTGAATATGCAACAAGAGGTTACTTGACTGAAAAGGCAGACGTTTACAGCTTTGGAGTTGTGGCTTTAGAGATCGTAAGTGGGAAGAGCAACACGAATTACATGCCAAAAGAGGAGTTCCTTTTTCTTCTTGATTGGGTAACTCAATTATATAAAATTTTTTTCATTCAAGTTTACATTTATCTTTAAGATATTTCAAGGGGGTTCTTTTAGAAAACTTTCATTGAATATACATGTTACTCTATTTTTGTAAAATTCCAAACAAATACTATAATATATCTATAGAGTGGACATTGTTTGATTAAAGACTATTAAGACCATCATTTATGTTTTCCTGGATTCACTTATTTTTAATGTTGACAGAATGCATAAAAAGTTTGACATATTGAATGTAAGGAAATTTCTTCTTGTTTGATATTCTTTCACTCTTTTATTTGAATAAATTCATTGAGACTAAAAGTTTGTCTTTGTCTCCCTACATGAAATTTAGGCCTATGTTCTGCAAGAACAAGGAACTCTTTTAGAGGTTGTGGATCCTAATCTTGGTTCCGACTTCAACGAGGCGGAGGCAATGACAATGCTTAACTTGGCACTCTTATGCACCACCACATCTCCTACTCTCCGGCCACCAATGTCTTCTGTCATCATGATGCTCGAAGGCAAAATCCCGGTCGAAGCACCCGTTGCCAGTCGTCGTGGCCCGAATCACGAGTTCAAGGCCTTTGAGAAGGTAACAGAAAATAGCCAAAGAGACAACTCTGTGTCCTCACATAACTATGATCATAATGTAGCATGCATGTATATGGATGGTCCATCAACTGGTTCCTCAGTTTCTCTCAAGAGTAAGGATGGTAATCAGGACAGTCCCGAATTCCCCATCATGAAATCTTCTCAAGGATCAATCTGAAGGATTTTAAGTGACAAAAAATATTGGTAAAAAGTAACAAAGATTGCAATTTCTTACAGTATCCTCTTTAGTGTCTATAATATTACAGTACAAGTCCATGTCCAAAGTCTTAAGAGAGTTAAGACAATTACCTGAATCAACAGAATTGTAGTTTTTTCAGTTATTTATAGCTATCACCTCTGTCTTCAGCCAAAAAAAAAAAAATTTGTTAACTTCTGTAAATAAGTTATTTTTTTATTTTTATTTTTTTAAGTAGAACTTCTGTAAATAAGTTGTTCCGGTTTCTTTACCAAATGGATTAATATTGAAGATTAATACAGTTCACCAAGTTTCGTTCAACGGTCATGTTTTTCTTTGTAATCCCTCTTATGTGAGTGATAGTGTTTGTTGACGGGAGTTCATACTCTCACATTGGTACAACGGTAGATATACTTTTTAATGTCTATCCAGATGACCAGTACCTTAACCATTTTTATTAAAAAAGTGTTTTCTACAATACTTACATACCGCACGAATTTTCATTTGACCTGTTTTTGGATTTGGTCGGGGCTCTTCGGTGAAATGCTGTCATGCTGGAGAAGTTCATGATCTTTTTCCCCTTGTGTGTTCTCCAACTTCCTCGTTGTGCACTGAAGTACTATCTACCGGAACATTTTCTGGTTCAGTTGGGGGGTGAGGTTGGGAGGCATCATTTCATCCTCGAAAAATGGCTCACCACTAAGCTCAGGAAGAACAGTAAAATCAGGAAAGTTTGATGCGACTATTTTCTAGAAATTGATTGAACTTAAACTCTGTAAATGAAATAGCAAGAAAATGAGTGATCGGGAAAAAATTGTGACCGTTGGGCCCTTCGCGGGAAAGGCCCAACGGTCTACAGGCCGTTTCGCGGGCCTGGGCCGGGCTAGATAAGGGCCGAATCCGGACTTGGATCGAAATGGGTTTGGGCTGGGCCGCGGGCCTTCACGGGAAGCCCATCACGGGCCGACCGGTGGGCCCGCGAAAGGCCCAACGGTCTACAGGCCGTTTCGCGGGCCTGGGCCGGGCTAGATAAGGGCCGAATCCGGACTTGGATCGAAATGGGTTTGGGCTGGGCCGCGGGCCTTCACGGGCTAGGGTCGGACTTGGGCCGTGGGCTGAGAAGCCGAGGCCCAACCCTAACCCGTTACACGTGTCGGGTCGGTACGGCCCGTAACAATACCGTACCAACCATGTCGAATTCAACACTATTACAGGTTGGGCCGGGCCATTCATAGACGGCCCGGCCCATTTGACAACACTATACATAATATATAAACATAGTAGGATGGAGAAGAATTTTTTGCAAATCTCAGTACCTAATATATCCAAAAAAAAAAAAAAAAAAGAGGACAATTTGATAAAATAACGTGACCGGGCAAAACAGGAAGCCCATCACGGGCCGACCGTTGGGCCCGCGAAAGGCCCAACGGTCTACGGGCCGTTTCGCGGGCCTGGGCCGGGCTAAATAAGGGTCGAATCCGGACTTGGATCGAAATGGGCTTGGGCTGGGCCGCGGGCCTTCACGGGCTAGGGTCGGACTTGGGCCGTGGGCTGAGAAGCCGAGGCCCAACCCTAACCTGTTACACGTGTCGGGCCGGTACGGCCCGTAACAATACCGTACCAACCGTGTTGAATCCAACACTATTACAAGTTGGGCCAGGCCATTCATAGACGGTCCGGCCCATTTGACAACACTATACATAATATATAAACATAGTAGGATGGAGAAGAATTTTTTGCAAATCTCAGTACCTAATATATCCAAAAAAAAAAAAAAAGAAAAAGAGTACAATTTGATAAAATAACGTGACACCACACTATCAATATCTAATGAAACTAATTCTTTTTTCCTTTTGCTTTATTGAACAAGTAGAAAGAAAGAAAAAAATGTTACATATAAACAGTTTAGTTCCGTTTGATTTGAATTTGTCGTTGTTCACCGTTTATCTGTTTTTTGCAACAACTTTACTCAACGGTGAATCGAGACCTGATCACGATTCAACCGTTCTATGTGGTTGCAGGGCGTGATGTAATCATGACCCCAGGAGGGTTTTGACCTTGTCGTGGGTTGCAACCTGTGTGTGGGATGTGATCCACTGTCACGACCTGGGGTAGCTTAGAGTGTACCGTACATGCCCACCTGCACAAGCGATGACGGAGCCTTCTTTTTTTTTTTTTAATTTTTGATATAGATCTTAATTAGTGGTGAACTTGTTTATTTTTCACCAACTGATGTGGATTAAATGGACAAAAAAACATACCTAAGCAATGACGAAAAAGAGCCTTCCTCCATCCTTATGATCGTTTTTCCCATAATTATTTAATGTTTAAAATAGTATTTAATATAAATAGTAATAAAGGCAATCTTGGTATTTTAGAAAAGGATTTATTGCAAGAATACTTCTCAATTTTATGCGTTTGGTAAATCAGTGCTTTAACTTTAAACTATTATAATTTACTTTTTAAACTTTAAAATTTATTGTAATGTTTGTTAAATTAAAACAAAATTAAAAATTTAGACGATTTCTTTCACGTGAATGTTTAATGAGGTTACTTTTAGTCTTTTTGCATTGAATTAATCCCTGTATAAATATCATGCATGTTTTTGAAATTGGGAAACCACTAATTTTTCCCCTCAAAAGGTTAATCTCTAATTTCAAAAAAAATTCTCACGCATAATGTCTATATCAAAATCAATTTGATGAAAAATTTATAAGGCGCTTTTAAGAATTTTTGAATTTGACCAACATTGCAACGAATTTTAAAGTTTAAGAGATGAATTGTCTAGATCAAAAAGGTAATGGGCCAATTTATCAAACTTATAAAGTTGAGAAGGTTTCCGTACCAAAACCTTTGGTAAACTTCAATCAATCCATAGAGTTTCTTGTAATTGATTTTACAAACACAAATAAAAGTGGTATTTTGACTAAACGCGTGAGATTTTTAGAGTTTTTCACCTCAATTATAGTCAAAAACCAAATGTTTTTTATTTTATTTATTTAAGAGAGAATGTTGTAAATAACAAATTTAGTAATGTTTTTTATTTTATTTATTTAAGAGAGAATGTTGTAAATAACAAATTTAGTAATGTTTTTTATTTTATTTATTTAAGAGAGAATGTTGTAAATAACAAATTTATAAAACTAAATTAAGTAAATAACATCCTCAAAAAAATTATGTAAATAATAGATTTTAAACCTATTCGAAGTAAATAACAGTCTATTATGTAAATGTTTAATCTACGTCTAATAAATAGAAGTAAATTATTTTTTATGAGTCCTAAAAGAAATATTTACATAGTAAACTGCTATTTACTTCAAATTAGAGGTGAAAATTTAGATTGCCCGATCCGGGCCCAGTGCTCTAAATGGGAATTTCGAACTGGGTTGGGTCGGACCCCCCATTATTTTCATTGGGCTGGTCGGCCTGGCCCTAAAGAGAGAAGGATTGGCCTAGCCCAACCTTAAAGCCCGACGGCCTTGGGCCTGGCTAGGCCGACCCAAAATTTATAAGGCGTTTTTAAGAAACTTTTTTTTTAAAAGGTGTTTGGACCGTGCCAAAATAAATTTTCGGGCTTGAAATTTTGGCCCGGCCCGAATACTTAAGCGGGTTGGGACCGGGATCGAACCAATACTGTCAGGCGTCAGGCCGACTCGTTTAGTCCGACCAAAACTTTCATTCTAACTTCAAATGGTTTTAAAATCTCCAATTTAGTTAATTTAATTACATTAATCTGTTATTTATTGCAATTTAGAAAGCAAAATTTGAGTGTGTGAAGATATTACTATAATACTCAGTAATTAATATACACATGCTACAAGCAAAAAATTAATATTTACACGCCAATGACCAGGTGTCAACTGTCAACTGCGAAATGCCTAAAACCAACCACAAACACCCAGAAAGAGCCAAAGTTTTGTCATAAGCACACCAAACATTATGGTCCAAATTTTAAACAAACATTTTCTGACCGAAAGTTCAAACAGAAATACAAAGTCCACAGCTAATACAACAAAAACGTTAATCTTTATATATTCAAGATAGAAAACAAAGTCTCAGTACATAATTTATCAATACGAAAAGGAAAAAAAAGAAAAAAAGAATCTTAGTACATATTCAAACAATGTTAGATAAGACCACACCATCAATATCTAATCATGCAACCTTTTCATTTTCTTTTTATATTTTTTTATATTTTATATTTTTGTCTTGTTTCTTTGAGCTAGACACGTAACATGTCAACCTTGTGAGAATTTTTGCAAAGGTATAGAAAGTCCTTCTGATTTTGATGAATCCGTCAAATAACTGCCAGATGAATATTGGTTTTGATAGTTGGTCGAACTTGTAGTCCCAGATGATGAATAGAAGGAAGAATTCATGTCCGTTGAGGGTGCAAAATACATTGGCCTTGGTAAGTTTGGTGGTAAATTAGGCAATGGAGCTTCAAAATTAAGAACATTCACCACCTGTTTGATAGAAGGCCTGAAAGAGGGCTCGGGATGGCAACACCACAACCCAACCACCATCAAGCACTCCATCTGCTCCTCATCGAATTCCAAATTTAGTCTCGTGTCAGCGGCTTCGAGGACTTGGCCTTTTCCATATAAGTTCCACGCCCACTCCACAAGACTTACCTTGCTTGGCTCTGCATTTCGTTCAACCGGTCTTCTTCCGCAACAGATTTCAAGTGCAACAACACCGAAACTATACACATCGGACTCTTTACTAGCTTTTCCAGTTGTCACACACTCTGGGGCCATGTAACCCATGGTGCCTGCCAAAACTGTTGTTTGTAGACCCGATTCGTGGTCTGCTAGCCTGGCAAGGCCGAAATCACCTAGCTTGGCGTTGAAGTTTGAATCCAACATGACATTGCTCGACTTGATATCTCTATGAACGACACATTCTTCCCATTCTTCATGAAGGTACAATAGGGATGAGGCCAATCCATGGGCTATTTTGTATCTAACTGACCATATCAATGTTGGTTTCCCTCCAAAGAGATGTATATCAAGGCTTCCATTAGGCAAAAGTTCATAGACAAGAAGAAACTCACCCTTTGTATGGCACCACCCAATAAGTTGAACCAAATTCTTGTGTCTTAAACGACTGATGATTTTCACTTCCGAAATGTATTCCTTTTTGCCCTGTGTTGATCCTTTAGATATCCTCTTAACCGCCACTTCCATATTCGATTCACTTAACACACCCCTGTAGACACCTCCAAATCCTCCCTGTCCAAGCTTCCCTTGCTCGGAAAATTCGTTTGTGGCTTGACTTAGCTCGCGGTAAGTAAATCTTTTTGGCCCAGTTTCCCCAAATTCAACATCAATAGACTCATCATATGCCTCCTCTAGTTTCTTTTTCTTCGCAGCCCTTCTCCTCCAAAAGATGAACAAAATCAAACCTAGTCCACCCAAAGCCCCAAAACCGACGCCTAAACCGATCCCTAAACCTGCATTGCTTTTCCCTTCCCCGTCTGTATTGCCATCCTCCAAGGTTGAGATGAATGACCAAGAGAGAATGTTGTGTGTTTCATACGAGTCTCCGGTGGCTGCAGAGAAACCGATTCGGACGCTTTGTGGCAAGAATTCCTTCCAATCAATCCTATGTGCAAGAACAGATTGTCCACTGTATTCTGGATTCTCAACGTAAGTTAGATAAACACTGAGAATATTACTAGCCGAGACATAACTCACCCATGCATTCGCCACTCTTCCATCTTTAATGCTACTATTCCATTTGATAGTTGTTGCTGATTCAATCGAATCAACATTGATTCCGACATGATCAGAACTCGGATCCCAGGAATTCTGATAACTATCGAACTCAACCGCGACAATAGGATTGCTTCGTCTAGAGTCATTCGCGGATTCAGGACTCAACAACGCAAGATATCCACCACTCGAATTGGCAGGGATGTCCGACTCAAACGGCGCGATGAAGAAAGAGATGCCGTCGCCATATTTACTTTTAGTATCATTTGCTTTGATCCTGAAGGTGAAATGAGCTGTGAAATCTGCGTACTTCCCCGTGTTGTTATTCCAAAGCTGCACCGGCTTCGAAAAGGAGGCTCGGCCAACGCTATTAGCGACGGGAAACCCGGTTGTTTCGTCAACCTTTGTGAGCTGCAGAGTTCCATTGGCTGCAGAGGAATCACCTTGAAAGATAATGTTTTCATCTCCGGAGAAGCTGGTGAAGTTGAAAAGTGACTCGGAATTTGGAAGAAAAAACAAAAAGAAAATGGTCTTGATGAGAAGAAAATTGAGGCATGAGAATGGTTTGGAGAGAATCATTTTTGTTGAAGGAACTGTTACTATGAAATTGAGAGAGATAAGGGGAATGGAGCTTAGTTCTTTGAGGTTATTTTGATTAATGGAAAGATTAGTTTAAAAATAGCTATATATAAACTATATGTTTGGTACACCTAATTCATAAAACTCATGTTTAATTAATTACACACGGCTACATTCAATAAATACACTCGGCTGAATTGATCTTGGTCAAAAAGACTTGCACAACTATAAGAAACGAAACTCAGACATAGCAACGACTAAGTAAACCATCCTCAATATATATATATATTTGTTAGGTTTTTGTTAATCGGCTGTGTTGGCAAAACAATTTTTGGTTGTACAGATTTAAAAACTAGGTTCTAGAAGACATTATCTAGATGGTTGTTTTTGGAGAAGAAGAAAGTGCTGTCGTTTGAATTTGAGATCGGATTTTGTGCAGAAAAAATCATATTTGTTGACTTGAAGATCAGCTTGTGATAAAACGGATAAGGCTAAGCTAATACGGATCATGAGGTCATCCTTTATCAGCTGTTGGTTTATCTTTTGAGGTGATTTGATTCATTGAATTTTAAAAAGTGAATCCGTGAGTTTTTGGAATTAAAAACTCAAAAAGTGAGATGCTGTAGATAATGCTGAGGAGGATTTTTTAGTAACGAACACAGGTTCAAAAGTTGAAGATACGTGGAATGGTTTTATATGATAAGATGCTCTGCAGGAAGGAATAAGGTTGTTGACTACAAAAAAAGTCTAGTAACGGAGAGACAATGATTAAGGAGAACAATCTGTAGTTTTGTGTTTCATGTTGAAAGCTTGATTAACTGAAGGGAGTTCAGTAGCGAAAGGTGAAGACGTGTGGTATACGCTAAATAGTGTCATTGTGGGAGTTCATCACAGCGGCGTCATAGTCTAGGAGAGAGTCCTTGAGTGATTAAGTCCGCCAGGCTTGTAATTCTTAAATCATAGTGAAACTGTTTACTGTCTGGGCGTGGCCCCACAAAGTAGGTGTGCACACCGAACTGCAATACCATATTACGTGTTCATTTATTTTCTACACTAGTGTTTTTCTTGTGCTGCTTAATTTAATCGATAGAGTAAACTAAGTAACTAGTGTCGCAGATAGTGTTCCAACGTCATCTGGGAGATAAGGCGTAATATTAGATCTAACAAGTGGTATCAGAGCGGTT